GACTCCATGCTGCGCCTTGGACCAAGACTTCGGGTACCGTCCAAGCGTGGGGAGTTGAGTTTTATTCTCAAGTCACTGAAAACTGGCAACCAACAGGTGCTAGTCAGCGGGGCTCTGCCGGCTGGCAGTCGGCGATGGAAACCTGCAGGCTATAACGATCATCATTCAACTTGTCCGAAAGGGGGTGACTACTGGTGGTTGATGGGGACAACCTCACGTGCTCCAACCAGCGAAAAACAGAAGCATGTTCAAATTGTAGGCAAACAACATGATTTGTTGCCCCAAGAGGACATGCACAATTAGGGTTGGCCCCTGGTGGAATGTGGGTTGTCGCATCGTGTCCTCCCCAAGCCAACAGTGGGCTACCGACAACATGGTTAGTATGTGTCAGCTGGACCTTAAACGTTGTGGCGTTGCCCAAACCAGGCTGGATGCGTGTTACAATGTGGTGGGGGGGGGGGGCCGAAAAACAGGAAAATGTGCTTCCGACATAGGGGGCTGCCCAACACGGAGATGGGGAAGGGCTTCCGAAAAATTGGGTGCCCAACAACAGACGTGTGTTCGCAAAATGCCTGCATGTCCAAAAGTGAGATTCGCCCAACAGCGTCTCCCTGTCGGGCGATTCAGGCGATTCCGCGGAACCAATTCCCAAAAGGAGAGCTGGAGATAACCACCGAACGGCCAACCTCGCCGAATTTCAGCCCAACACTGCGGGAAAGGCCAGCGTGGGGCCCTCCATGAGCAAAATACCACTCGGAGGCCTCCATGGACCATGTTTTCCAGAAACAAAGTAAACTCACTTGCCCAAAGGACCTGGAAATACAAGGTTAACCTTTTGGGACCTTCGCAAAAAATGGACCAAAATGGGAAAACAAAAGGTCAAAGGTCGGCTTTGGGCAAGTGAGTGTAGTTGGAAGGCTTTCTTTGGGACGCGACCACGGGTTTCAAGGCCCGGGCATTTGCCCGAGTCTGTGGGTGAAAAATAGGCGACAACTGGGTTGCCCTGGGAAATGGGTTGCCCTGGACTAAAAAAGCGGTCTGGCGACTTAACTCTCACCCATGCCCATATTCATGTAAAATGCCCCCTTTTGGCCAGGCCAAATCGAAGAACGCAAGAAGCAGCTCTGCACAAGATGTCCTTCACAGATTCGTCCATGGGATCCACTATCTCTGATCAAACCACTTCTTATAGAACTTTGCACTGCTCCTATATCAAGCATTTTTTAGAGCATTCCCCAGATTCAACATCCACCCGGCTCTCATTCGGTGGTTCATGCTTGCAGCGCATTCTTGGAGCACGTTCCACCCGAAACCCCACAGTCCCGGCCTCCGCAGTCTTCGTCGCAGCTGTGGCCGGAGCCGAAGCTTTGGCATGCCCGGCTTCTCTGAAAGCCTCCCGCTTCAACTTCTCCCGCTTCTTCCTGCAGCCGAGGTCGCTAGAGTGGTGGGGTTCAACCGTCCAAACCACCAAACCACCAAACCACCAAACCACAAAACCACAAAACCACCAAAAACCAATGGATAGAGAACCAACTCCAGTTACCTCAGTTTGTAACCATGGTTATAACTCCTACTTTCCAAGTGCGCGGAACATCCAGACAAAGCAAGGTTAGATCCCTGGGTACCTTTGCATAGTGTGTGACGGGATGCCAAGAAATGGCAAAGGTCTCCTTTAAGGCTCAATACACTAATAAGAAGGGAATCCGACTCCCATTGTTACACACCAAATACCGAGTGCGAAAGTTCTTTCGGTCTTAAAATGGAAGGGGGGGGGGGGTCTGGGAACGATGCTGGTTCCAAGAACGCGATTCCCGTAGTGGAGACAAGAAAGTTGGCAAATGCCCCTGAAATGCCCCTGGCATTCTGCGTGAAATATAGAGCTAGCGTTCTTGCGTCCCATTTTAGAAATAGACAACACAGGGATTGACCGAAGTCTGTGCTTCCATCTCCTTCTGCTTTCCTCTATGTAAAGGGCCAGGGTACTTAGTCAGTGGGTAATAACCAATTGATAATCAAGCAGGGGAAGTGACAAATGGTTGTTCATTGCGCAGTGCCCCCGGTCGGTGTCCAAGCTTGCCACCAGGTACTCCCTTTGACATCATGTCCCTTGGTCGAAACGGCCCGGAAGTCCGGAAGTGCGGTCCAACTGCATCAACCAGTTGAACAATTCACCAACCGCAACTAAAACATGGAGAGCCAAATTGGACACATCACCCTTGGAGACCCTGACATAAGGCTCCTTGTGTAATATGCCCCCTTTGAACGATAATCGAGGTGACGTTTAAACCCCCTGGAAAGGACATCTAAGCATCCCTGTAGCCTGACCCTAGCCCTGGTACGTGGAGTTTGGACACTTCCACATATGTGATACATAGATGGTTTGATGAGTTCTATCCTGGTTCTAACCCATTGAACGGGACTTCTTACCATGGCTTTGGTGGGATATGACCATGACTGCCAACCACTTGCTAAATCCCAGACCATCCAGAGGATGATCATGTTGCAAAGGATTACCTCCTCCTCAGGTTTTGTGACCCCCAACCCCCAAACCGAGTGGTTTAGGTATCGCCCATGGTAGCCTCAACTTGGATACTTGTCAGGGGCAGGGAAGGTATCCCTCCCGGTACCCCTTGTGTCTTTCGGGCTTCAATCCTTAACCGAATCCAAACACCAAGGAAGGCGCTATTCACAGGTCTGGGGTGATTTACGATTGCTCAACTCCTGAAATCATGTGAAATGGGTATCCGGGTACCCCTACCCATGGTATCCAGCGAGGTCGACCCGCTAACCCTCGGATTTGAAAGCTCGTTGCCTCTTCTCCTTCTTCTCCTTGTTCTTTGCTCGGGTCTTGGCGGTGGTCTGGCGGCAAAAACTCAGGTCCAGGTCCAGTTCAAACTGGGTTTCTGTATTCATGTGGGTGTGTTGTGTGCTTGTGCTTGTGTTTGTGAGGGTACCCGTTTCACCTTCGTTTAAGAGAAAAAGGGTCACGAGAAGGTCCTTGCGGAAGGAACGTGGAACCCTGATGCGTGCCAAAACCTTCTGTGGCCCTTTGTCCTTGCTGCTCCGAAATCCCGAAGGCTTCGGCGTTTTTGGTTTCCCACTAAAATATTCTCAAAAAAAAACAGTCCAGGCATTTCAGGGAGTGAGATCTCAAGTAGGCAGGTCTTTGACCCCAGCACATAACAATATTCCCCCATGTTCCTGGTGGGAAGTGGCTTGGTACTGAAATCCGTTTTTTTTTTGTTTTTCTCCAAGACACAGCATGTTCACCAACAGCGGCCGCGAGAGGGGTCTGAGCCAATCCCGGTTTGGGGCCAGTGACACATATTGAGAGAGGAACCAGGGAAACCATCCCAACAGTAAGTTCCAGAGACTTACCTTTCCGCTGTTGCGCCACATGGACCCTTGGTCGCGGAAAAACCCTGTTCTGTGATACCAAGGTGGCACATCCCTGTGGCTGCTAGTACTATAGCAAAAGTGGCAACCTAAAGCCACACATTTTCCACGTCTTTGGACCCTCACAAGTGCCGAAACCCTTCAGAACTTCCCGGCCTGCCCGGCCTCAGGCTCTTTGGCCTCTGTCACCTGCGTGCGCCGAAGTCAGAAGGTGTGTTGGACCCCGGTTAATTAAGAATGGTATAGGGATGGTAGATTGTCCCGCCCATCCTAAAACAGTTTTATGGGAGATGCTCCCTAAGTAGGCTTGATTCTCGGAGATGGTCCCAGACCAAACTTGCCGCCGAGGGTGCAGTCAAACAACCCCTCGCATAGATTCTGCCGGATCTGGCCATTGGGACCGGGCATGGGGGGGTTGCCTCACCTAGGACTTGGACGTCCTCTTGGACGAATGCTGGGATCTGGAAAACGCAACAGGTTCATCTTGAGCATCTTTCACCAAGCCAACTGCTTTCCTCCTGGTTGCAGTGCCACTGAAAAGCTGTACTGACAGTGAGAACATGATTCTGGCAGACAGACAAACAAACGACCGGTACATTGTATGTTACCATGTATGTATGTCTGTATGTCTGTCTGTCTGTCTGTATGTACGTATGTACGTATGTACGTATGTACGTATGCAAACATGCATGCATGCATGCATGCATGCATGTATGCACGTAGGTATGTAGGTAGGCAGGCGTGTCCGCCCGTCGGTCGGTCCGTCTGTCTGCAGGTATGCATGTATGTCCGTCCATCCGTCCGTGCGTCCGTCCGTCTGTCATACCCCTCTGCACATATACTAACATGATTCATTGTTGAGTTTCACTTGTTCAACCGCCAGCCATCAAATTTAACATCGATCAACTGACTCTGCCTTCACTTTAGGCTGACATAGACGCCAGCAAACTTCGAAGAGGAGTAACAATTCCTCAAAGACTCCGGGGGCTCCATCTGAATCAGCCTGCAGTTAGAAGCCCCCTGAAACGGGAAATGGCCCCAGCCCCAACGTGGGACGGCCTTGGACATTTTCTGCGTTGTTTTCGGGTATCGTTGGTGCTGCGGCCAAGCATATACCCAAAAGCAAACCACGGAATTAGAATTGGTTCTGAGAGACATAGAACAGTAGTACATTCTGCATACGACAATGTAAGTCACAATCAAACCTGCCACTGAAATGGTGTACCCAAATCCATGTAAGGAAATTGAAAGTCGGCCGCACCTATTCCTGGCAGCCCCCTTAACCTTCATCTACCCCTCGGCTGTCTCATGGCGTCTTTTCTCCCGAGCCAGGCCGGATTCTCGAGCCGGGACGGAGTGATGCCCCTCTGAAAGGGGATCTGAGTTGTGCGGCCCACAACCTGTTTTTCGGGCTATCATAAACCAAAGCTAAAATGGAGTCGTCCTTCCTTGGATCAGACTTTTGAGAATCCGAATTCACCACACGAAGCACAAAAACAACTGATTCATTCGTGCAAGAAACCGTTCTCCTAGGGCTTCCTTCTGAGAAAACAGAAGTTCTACTGTTTTCTGTCAGCTTCAGATTTGTATTCCCCAAAAGTACTGGACAATGAGTTGGGGCCTCCGATAGGCACAGGACCAAGAGAAACCTCACCAGCGATCTACCAAGCAAGAGAACTTGGAGAACCCGTCACCACTCAGAGAGGTGCTCATGCTCGAAGAACCCCCCCGTCACATTTGGCGCCACTGCACACAGCGCCACAGTACGAGCGCCCACGGAAGGCTCCTGTCCTCCTCGGTTGCTGGACCTCAGAGCTGTGTGTGTGTGTGTGCGTGTGTGCGTGTCTCGCTGTGTCTATGTCTGTGCCTGTGTGTTTCTTGAAGCGCCCTTTTCTTGGTGGGGGAAACCAAAATGAACGCCACCCAGTGAGGGATTCATTGACCCCTCCTGTCAACTTGGCGTATGCCGCATAATACTTGCATTTTCTTGTTGAAGTGAAGTGGCTTTCTCTTTGGCTCGTATGTGCACTAACATAGATTTTTCTGGTCCACCAAGCCGCTTTACGCCGGGAGCAATACCGAGGGATTAGAGGAAAATGGTCCAGGACCCCCAAGACAGGTTCTATGTTGGTGCATGGAAGGGTACCCGCCTTTCCGCTAAAGCCCGGGATCCACAAGCTGCCGGTGGATTTACTCATCCCGGGTCGACATTGCGCCCGCCGAGATTATGCTGGAGTGCTATCTGGGTGATTTTTCCTGTGTACTCAGGGCAGGTCAGGAATGCTTGCGTGGCGCACTCGCGGGTTGCCTCTCTTAAACCCTAGACTTCTTGACTTCTCCCTTGACCCCCAGGTTCAACTCACGGGGACCCCTTGGTGAGTAGCCTGTATCCAAAGAATTTATCTATATGTATATACATATATTCGGAAATATAGGTGGCTCGCTTCACTTCGGGGTAACCTTTTTCGGGCTAGAGTTTCTATCGCGCACTGAAACGAAACTGTCCAGTTTGGAGGCAAGAGCCAAGCCCACTTTGAGACAGCCCCCTGGCATTGAAGTTTAATGGGAATGCCCTTGTCGGTACACATAAATCTCCCATGGCGATGCAAAACAAAAGGCCCCAAATGAATGTTCTCATCTCCATGCTCCCTACTTACCTTGATTCGGAAAGAAGCCCCCCCCCCCACAAAAAAACAACAAGGCCGGTATCCCTGGAATTCCGGAACCCTCCCTTGGAACTGGTGTCCGAGGTCTCGGCATATCTGTACGGCAGTAGCCGGGGCAGCAGGCATTCACCACCAGGCCATTGCCTGCTTCCTCGCGCGCCAGCAGGCGCGTGTACGCAATGAGCGCCAGCTTGGACCTCGCGCCAGGATTTGAACGTGGAACCTGATCCTTGAGATCTTCATGGGTTTCACTCCACTTGGTGTGGTGTCCAAATGAAGCATTGTTTTGAACAAAACACATGGGTCGCTTCCCAGTGTAACCCGAGGGTCAGCTTCCCGCGAGCGGGTTTTGCTACTTGCCATGTTACCATCCTTCTGTGGCTCTTTCTTTCTTTCTTTGGTTCCTTTCTTGATTTGTTTCTTTCTTTATTCATTTTGTTCTTCGTTTCTGCCTGCATTTATTTCGTAACTTACTGTTTGTCTTATGTTCTTTCTGTCTTGCTTTCTTCCCATGATGTTATGTTCCTTCTTTAGCTGGTTCCTCTCTCCTGTGTCAGTTTTTTCTTCTATGTTCATTGTTTGTTTGTTTATTTCTCTCTCTGTCTACAAATTTCTCTAACACTGTGCTCTATAGCAATTTATTTATCTACCTACCAAAACGTTCATGTCTATCTGCCTATCTAGCAGACTATCTATCTGTCTATCTCTCTATCGAACTATCTATCTAGCCAGACGTCTGTCTATCTGACAGTCTGTCTATCTAACTATCCACCCATCTTCTACCTGTCTGTCGAACTGTCTATCTGTCAATCTGTCTACCTGTTTATCTACCTAGCTACTCGACCAACCCCCCTCTCTCTCTCTCTCTCTGTCTGTCTGTCTGTCTGTCTGTCTGTCTGTCTGTCTATGTATCTGCCTATCTAGACATCTATCTACCCTTTCTTTATCAACCTGTCTCTCTTTTTATCCCCGTCAATCGCTCAATTCATTTAAATGCCCATCCATCTACTGGTCTATGAACCTTTTATCAATCGTTCTTCTCTCGACCTATTTATATAACATGTTCTGTCTGTCCATCTATCTATCTATCAATCTGGTGGCCCATCCACCGGGAGAAAGCACCGTATGCCCCGTAAAGTGTTCTCGAAGGCTCTTTGGGACAAGGGTTCGCAGGTTCGCAACGCCGAGACTGCTGGACCTGTTCTGCGGCACAAATTCAAGGCAGCGGGCTGGGAAGATGGTGGGTCTGGCACGTGGCGGCGGGATGATAGCTATATAGAGAGGTAGATAGGCAGGTAGGTAGGTAGACAGATAGATGGCTAGATAGCTGTGGAGCTTAGGTAGATAGATGAATAGATAGAGAGTTAGAAAGAACGAAATATAGAAAGATAGAAAGATGGATAGTTGTTGTGTTCTTCTTTTTTTCCTCATCAAATGTTTGCCACTGAAGTGATCCTCCCAAAAGTATAAAGTCCAGAAGCGTAAGCAGTGAGAAACAAGGCCAATGGGAGTTGTGGGCTCTGCTGACAGGAGCCGCAGGTTCCAACATATGCAATGTCACTACCGGGCGCGAGCAGCCAGCTGGCTTTCGTGCTTGACATATTTTTCGTGCTCGTCCCCCTCATGCCCCTCCCAAATTGACCATAGAGGACATGTTAGCTAAACCTCAAGTGAGGCTTGTCCCAAGAAGGGGATAAGTTCTTGGACTCTTTTGTGAGTAGAGGAAGGCCGACAAGCCCTTGGGGCCCGAGGGTCAAACATTGGCAGATGTTGAACGAAATCTGACGGAAAATTGGGGAACCCACAAAATATCTTGGTGGCTTCCCCCTGTTTGCCGTACAGAAACCAGCCCACAGAAACCAGGCCGCCAAAACCCAAACGAGGCAGATCCACATTGTGCCGACAGACTCCGAGACCCGAGGCAGGCACATGCCGTAGTTGGAGTTGCTGAAGCCTGAGATAACTCAATTGGCCGTGGTTGTCAAAACCGTTTTTGTATCCCATTTTGGGGTGGGTGCACCACTCATTTTAGAACCTATTTTAGTGGGGATTGGTTGATGTTCACTGGGGGTACGATTTGGATTTTGACCCATGGCCAATTGAGGTCCGAAAAAGGGACATGAAGCCCTGATTGAGACAGAATCGAAACCCAGCAACAATCTGGTTGACCCAAAACCAACGGTCTAAAGGGCGGAGTGTCCCCGCACTTTCGTTTGGCTGCCTTCTGATTGTGGCTGCATTGGGCGCGGTATCACATGAGCAACTGGCCCAACTGCTGATGCTAGTACTCATTTAGTGGAGGTAGAGGTCTCAACAAAAATCAGGGGGCCCGCAAGTTGCCCATATCCCCTTGGGAACAAATTGTGTGTTGCCTGCCCTGGACCAAGATTATGATGCTGGTAGAGGAGATGTATGTCACCAAAACCGCACCGTTTCGCCACATAATTTTCGGCTGGCACTGTCGATTCCCGGAAGATTCAAGGGCAAACTTGCCTCAGCTCAGCTTTTGCGCAAGCATGTTGACTTCGAGAATTTTCTGTGAATGAACCTTGACATGTACAGGTCCCAGAATAGGCTCGCCCGACCAGTGCGAATGCCGCAATGCTTTGCATTCGGAGTGCTTGATTTGAATGTGTCTCAAAAAGGGACACCTGCGAACAGGGTGGTTTCCTTTCGGCCTCCCTTAATCTAAAACACGGCCTCCGAAGGGGCAGCCCCTTTCTGAAAACGAGCCCTTGGGAACAATACCTGAACAACATGACGGTAGCTGATCACAATATCTGTAGCTGATTCGGCGAATGTTTAAATGTTTCTGGCGGCGACAGCAGCAGCAGCAGCAGAGACAAGATTCACACAGCAGAACTCATAATATAATTAGCGACTCCCAAAAACGTCACTGTTGTCACCTCACTTCCTGAGTGGACGGGCCGGACAAAGTCCCAGTCTTCCTGCTTGCCACCATTTCTGCCAGAAAGCTTGAAGACCAAAAGATGGGTCAGTGAGTCCTTTGGTCGGTGGCAATTATGGTGAGCTAGATTTGCATTTTACGAAATGCATGTTTTCTTTGGATGAATTCAGAGAACAAATACTAAAAGGAGCGCACTGAAGGTGAAGCAACAACACAAAGGAAAAACAAAAAGGAAGAACCACCCCAGATTGGTATGGGCCCGCGGCCGGGACTGATTTAGCATACATGTTGTAACCATTCTCGTAATTGATTGACCACTGCCTACTAGTGGAAACCCAGGAGTGATACACCCGTCCAAATAAATACGGGGAGCGTTCCCCTCAAGTCATGAACCTATTTACCCAAAAAAACGCTTCCCCTACTAATCATTCAACAATCATGTCCCCTTGTCGTAATCAATCAACAACCGTGTCCCCTACTATTCTTCATCAATCCCCTACTAATTATTCATCAACCATGTCCCATACGAATCATTCATCAACCATGTCCCCTACTATTCATTCAACAACCATGTCCCCCACTAATCATTCATCAACCAGGTTTTGTTTCTCCTCCGAATTTCACATTGCGGACCATCCCAGTTCTCATGGCCAGGCAGCCCATCTCCCTGTGTCGGCCCGACTGCACAGCTGCAACAAAGCTCTGGACCAAGCTCACTAGCCTGGCATGTGAAAGATGTGTAACACATACATGTGCATACCTATATGTATATATGTATATATGTAAATATGTAAATATGTATATATGTATATGTGTATATATATATATGTAAATATGTATATGTGTGTATATGTATATATGTGTATATGTATATATGTGTATATGTATATATGTGAATATATATATATATATATGTTATGCGGTACACCCTCCCGGGAAAACACAAACTACCATCTTTGCTGGTTTGCTGACACTTACAAAGTGTTCTTGGATCCTACGCAAGTATTCAGCCTTTGCCATGTTCTTTGCAGGCTTCTCAAAAGTCGTTGTCCCCACCACAACTTACAACACTTATTAGCAATTCCTTCAACATCAAATAGTTAAGCTTCTCGTAAAAAAAATAGATTCAGTGAACTCATCACACACTGCGCCCCAGCCCCTGCTTGTCGTCTTCTAAACATATACACCTACATGCGTGCCTGCGTGTGTGTGCATTGTATTTTGAAAAAGCCCTATTCTCGATAACCCCTATCGCTCCGAGCAAGCTGTCAACGCATCGCTTTTATTACCCCAACGTGTTGTTAAGGTGCTACCATTTGACTGCCATTTCCACGCAAACAATTGATATCCAGACTAGCAAATGATATCCGGACTAGCAAGTATAGCGCAAACAAACTGACGCGCGCTTGCGTAACTTGTGGGGAATACCATCCACGGAGCATGTGTCCATAGTATGTGTAGGATGTCCGGGGACTATTACGGGCAGTAAATCCAAACGCGCGGCGGGCACGAATCTGCGGCATGCGTGCCGATCCGTTCGCTCCAAAATGCGTGTGTTGCACAGCCCTGCCTCCACGCCAAAACGTAGCACAAATCAGCTCCATGCCAAACCCACCCAAATCCGGAACCCACCCAACAGCAGCCTGGACAATTATCAGGCTTTGCTGAGCCTACATAAACCCCAAACCAACCCAAGAACCGCCCACATGAAGATCTCAGGCATCCTAAAAGTCACCTTAAACCAACGCGAGCAACTCTCAACTGCCACCAAATCAGATGCAACAGGCAGCTTGCTGTCTAAATCAATAAATTCAATCAGATAACATGAAATAGGTTCAAATGTTTTGCTTTTAACTTGTGTTGTTCAGGAACGCGGGGTGGGGCGGGCAAGGGGTGTAGCACTCTACATATATATATATATATAATATGTAGTAGATGTATATATGTGTACATATCTATACATGTACCGTTGTATGTCTACGTGGTGTGAGGGTCGTATACACCGTGTACTGCCCATGGACTGTCGCTTGCCCGTCCAGGAGCCCCAGAACAAAGGTTTCGTAGGTGACGTACACTGTGGTGGAAACCGTGGTGGAAAATCCGCTTGCCCTTGGGGCCCCAGGGCGATTGCACGTTCATGCGGTCATACGGCCATTGGGGGCTTCACCCCTTTTCGTGGTTTTGAAGGAAAGCTACGAGGGAGAACCATTTTGGAGGGTCCAACCTTCAAAAAGACACAGCCCAGCATATATGGTTTCCCTGAGATTGGAGGCAAGCTGCGCGTTTCAATCCCAACCGCCAATGAGCGTCTTTCTTGTTCAACAGCAGCTCTTAACGGGCTTGTTTAATATTCTGCTAGAATGGTTTTAGTCGCCTGCGTAAATCAACCCTTAAAACGGATACCTCACATAAACGACTGGTTGCAAGCAAATCTGGCAATTAGATGCAGCCTGTGTGAAGCAAGGACTGTGAACGTTGCTTGCGTGCCTCTCTGGCCAGCACCTTTGACTAAGTTCGGGATATCCAACAACTTCCGACTGGAAACCGCCCTCAAAACAACAAACCAGTAACGCCTTGTGTGGCCAAACAAAGGCTAGCGAGCTAAAACGCGGTGAGCCAACATTGCGGCAAAACACACAGTTGCAACCCAAAGGTGATGTATATAGCTTAAGGCCACCCTAAAAGGCTTATATGAACAACCCTGCTCTGCAGGGGTCGTTCGTTGAGGACAAACAGCTTCAATAGAAATTGCAGTGCCGCTGAGAATGATGATGATTATCAGTCATAGCAGTTCGGGTTAACCAATCGGGGCTAATGGGGCAGGGTTTTGGAGGGCACCCCCTTGGGCTAGTGTAAAAGAACACATAACACGAAACGAAAACCATCATTTTGGGTCTGCCTATTTTGACACATACGCAAAAAACAGGTACCTCAAAAAGCGGATGAACATGGATGAACAGTTGATGACGTTGACCTAGTGGGCATGGGCAAAAAAGGCTTCCCACCTGGATTTCGCAGTTGACATTTACACACACACACACACCCGCCCACCCACGTGTACACACACACACACACACACACACACACACACACACACACACACACACACACACACACACACACACACACACACACACACACACACACACACACACACACACACACACGCTGAGCCTGAGCCTAGTTTTTCTGTTGATCAATGGGGGGGGGGGGGTCCCGCTTAGTAAAAAGCAATGAGGTTGGCAATTGGCCTGGGCAAGTCGCTTGAGTGCGGCAAAACCTGAGTCTTCGACCCAACTCCGAGCGCTCTGCATTCCCGAAATCGGCGAAACATCGGCAAGTCGGTGCCTGCCGCGGTCCAGCGCGGGGTCTGCGAACTGGGCCTGCAACTCTGGGCCTGTCGACGAGCCGCGAGAGTCGACTCCAAGAAAACTGGGAGCCAGGCCCTAAGTGTTCTCTGCAGTGTTTTGATCCCTTGCCTAACAGTGAAGCTTTGAGCTTTGTACTTGCGCGTTGTCATTTTGGGGCTCGTCACCAAAACAAACCAGCGGAGGTTCATCAGCGTTCCCCACATCTCCAACCTCAAAACCACGGAGAGCTTTCCTACGGGCAAATCCAATGTTTAAAAGCCACCAAGCAAGGAAATATCATATTGGCCAAAATAGGGGGATCCCGCTCCTCTTTGAGCCAGCCGCAAAAAGGGGTACCCTAAAGTACGCTGGAATTAGGACCCCAGCAAACAATTATCATTTTTGCCAGTGGAGAACAAAGGGACCCAAAAAAGCGAGCAAAAAAGAAGAAAAAGCACGGGGGCTAATTCTGGGGAAGCAAAAAGGCGCAGGGAGGGAGCCCTGTCCATCCCCACGTCTTTGGCCCGGGCACAGCTGCCGAAGCTTTCCGGCGAGTGACGCGACATTCACCACCTGATGCAATGGCGAACAATTGCTTTCGGGGCGATAAGCCCCATGCCCTCATGCCCTGATAGCGTGTTATATATACATATATATATATATATATATGTGTAGGCATATGATACAAACTTGTGTGTGTGTGCATACATATGAATATATATATATATATGTATATATATAGATATATAAATGTGTTATTGTCACCCAACCGCCGGGAACCAACTTCACTCTGCTGCCTTGTAAAATTGCTGAAAGCAAACATGTGCTGCTCATGCTTTTTGATTCGCATTGAGTTGGAGGGGTGGCCAGAATTCCATGAGCGTATGTGACACAAAAACACTGTGATGTTCAGTTCATGGTTTTGCCTGCTTCGAAAAAAGAAAACACTGGTATTTGTTGTTTGAGTATTTGAGCCTTGTGGGAATGATGTTTGTTTCCACGTCTTGTTTTTGCTTTTATTCAGATAAGCCGTTCTGGCTTGTTTTAGAAAGGGAAACAAAAGAACACTCATTATTTTCGGGTTCCGCTATTTTACGACACACCCACGCCACCCACCCACTATTCTCTTCCTGAGTGGATTGGCCAACAAAAGCCCAAACTTGGGGGACTTTTGGCTACGACTTTGGAGACCCGTCTGCTCTTTCGGCTCTGGTTCTCAGAGAAGGAGGGAACGACGTGAATGGTGATCAAGGGTTCATTCCCAAAGCCAGTCGCTTGGATCCATTTGGTTCATTCACAACCCCGAAATGAATTCCTAACTTCCCAAGCCAAGTTGATGTAGTTCAGAGCGAAAACATGCCAGGAACAAATCGAATCGCTCGGTGTTCGGTCGATTTTTCAGGGGGTTGTTTCTTTTTGGTTCCTCTTCAAGTACCAACTAAGGGTTCAACCAATTGTTCTTGGTTCTGCAGAAAGATGGTCATCCACGTGATAATAGGGCCTTGATAACCATTATAACTAGGTGAATCATGATATTTCACCAGCCTGAAATAAGGTGGTTGGGGGGACATTCCCCACACAAACTGGGGGGAGGTCGTGTGAGGTCGTTATAATTCACCCAGAATATAATGATTCCTGAGGAAGCTATCACCCAATCGGCCACATTTACGGATTTTTACGATGGCTCAAGTGAGGGAGGTCTGGAACCAACCCAAACTGCCCGATCGCCTTGGGCTGGCGCCCGGCCGCCGCGGAAGCTCGCAGCAACGGCAGCAGCCGGTCCTCCGCATCTGACCAAAAACGTCGAGTGTCCAGGGGCGTTAAGCCAATAAAAACATGACCCTAGGGCCCTCAAATGGCCCATCCCCTCGAAACATAGATTAGTTGACACCCAAACCAGCCCAAATAGCATGAGTCGTTCAGGCTTCAAGTTGTTGTACGGGCCGATTGCCCATTTTCTTCACCCATGGTTCCCTTCACAAATCACTTTTGTCCTTCCGGGGGTTCGCAAGTGTTCTGATTATTTAAAAGAGTATGCCTCCTGCTCCAATACCCGTCCTGTTTACTTTACGACAAAAGGGGATCATGACGGAACTTGGTTTAATAGAACTACTGAGAATCTGAGAAGGGTTTGGAAACACTTCCTCCTGCACCGTTGATGGCCCCCAACGCCTGCCTCCCAATCTCCCAACCTGTCCGTCAAGCGCGTGGTGGCAAAGAAGTTCACGCCCAGCCTCGAACGGCACAGGCTGGGACGTTGAGCCATGTGCTTCTATTTTACCTAGAGGTAGAACCACCAGATGGGTGGGCACTGGACGCACTGGGACATGGAAAGTACCCACAAAACACAGGGGATGGCAGCATCCCACCAGAATGTTGGCCGAGATTGGCGTCGACAAGGGACCCTCTATCATTCCCCCCCACCCGCAAATTGAAGGATGGGGAAAGGGTCCCCTAGTTCCATCTCTCTTGTTCTCGCAGAAAGTGAGACAAGGAAGGACTCTCCCTGCGACCAAACAGAAAGGATTGGTGAGCGATGCAAGCACCCAAGAACCAGATCTGAGCCCTTCAACCCCTGGAAGGATGCAAACCTGTTTCTCATTTTGATGACAAACACGTGAAGATGATGCACACCCACTCGACTCGAGTTGGGGCACTTCAGCGGTTCTATGATCCTTACAAAATGTCCATACGCACCCAGAAACCGCACCAAGAGCTATGTAGGATGTCTTTCTGGGGTAAATGACCCCGTGCTAGCGCACTGCCTTCAGGAGAGGGGGTGCCTTGGGTCCAAAACAAGAAAATTCAAACACACAAGCATGGCTCGGTCTGGCAACGAAACGGGCTCCTGGGCAATTTGGGGCTTCGCAACCCCAGCTCTGCGCCCGATGGGTATGTATTTTGCTTGGGGGACGCTGTGGTTGACGTCGTATACATGGATACTTGTATCCAACCATGTTTGACGGGGGCTTCTTTCTCAAGACACGTTCCCGCTGTGATTCCATGACAGTGTTGGATCGCAGCTGTCGGACAACACAAATCCCGGTGGCAACACCATGGATGCGGAAACAGACTCAAGTTTCCCTTCAAAAGTTGGGATGGCCTAAAAGGTGAAAAACCACAAATGAGGAACTTTGTGCACCGGGAAGCGGTCAGGGATGACCTCCGCAGCTTGCTCGGCGCGCCGCGTGGGTATGGTCTGCTGCTCGAAGGGTGTGGGATCTGCCGCCTAGAGCCGCGAATCATGGCCCATGCGCCTGGAAGTTGGAAAGCATGGTTGGGGTTCCTGATGTCAGGTCTCCTGGCCACTGGTTTCCCTTTGGTTCTACTCATTTGCCAGTGTCACCGATTTGTCCAGAAGGACCTCCGGACACCCCAAATTCCAGGGGTTGATTCCTTCTCCATTCTTTTCAACAGGGATCCTTACAATATACACCTGAACATTGCAACTTGTAAATGGTGGTTTCCCTTTATTTTGGTACGGAAAAAAACAACATGTTTCAAATGGTTGCAAAAAATGTATTTCCTTTAAGGAGACCTGTTCAACCCTCGGTCTTTCTTTTTAAAAGCAGCTGGATCGGTCTGTTTCCCCTGGGCCCTGGGGGGTCTGATGGTTTTCTGGAAAGAAGGACTTGGTTGACGTTGGGTTTGGGGAGCAACAATTCTCAAATTTTAGCAGTTAAGTGGATTTGGATTTCAACCACTAAATCACAATAAGATCAAAAATGGGAAAAATGTAAAACCCAACAACAACCATGGAATGGTTGGAAGTGTCCCCTAGAAACATGACCAATTTCAACACCAAAGCAAGCCGATTCAGGAGTATTCCCTATCACACAAAGTGGCGGAAAAGCGAACCAAGTTTCCACACAACCATGTTGGCAAGGGGCCAAGCGGTCATCTGCAAACACAATGCATTTGGGTCAGCTGGTTTAGCCCTATGTGAGCTCATCACAAGTTGTGCAGATGAAGCATCAATATGCCTCCAGCACCCTCCAGCCACTTTTTTTGGGGGTTTGGGACATGACAAAGCGATGGCCGAAAGCAGTGGAGGCTGAAGTGATCCTGGACCCCAGATATTGCAACTTCTACTTTGAAATTTGGTGTTTGCAAATGTGCTGAGTCAGAGCCATGGGCAGCATGGCAGCCTTAACAGGCTGGACAAAGTCAGGCTCAAGTCGCGCCACCATCCAATTTCCAACACCAAATCCCAATGACGAAATTGCAACGCTACTCCAATTAAACTCAGGCCTCAGCCATGCCCGGGCCCAAACCCAATGCAACGCAGCATGGGACTTGTTTGCCAGAAAAAAAACGCATACTCAGGCCTGAAACTCCCCATGGAGGGCAACACATAGAACGTCTGCTTGGGTGTCAGGAACTATCACTCAACTCAGGAAAGCATTTTAACCCTGACTTTTACAAAGACCCATGTCTGTTGCTGGCTGTGTCTGTTGGCTGCAATCTGCAAATGCAAGAAGTCTTCACACGTGCCATTCTACCGAGTTGCTGGATGGAAACAAGTAACAGTGATCAGCTTTACTGGAGGGCGGCTCAAAAGCCCTGTTTTCCGGCGACCCCCGAAAAAAAATCATAATATCTAAAACGAGATCTGAACGAGATCCCAGAGCCGATTGACCTTCGAAGTACCCTTCCGCCAGCTCGAAAATCGTGACTTGTTCAGCACGCTAGTATACAAAGTACATGTTGGCTTCGACCTTCAAGACTGGTCAAAGTAAAACACAACGCAAACGCAGTCTTTCAGTTCGTGGTGTGCGCCCTAATGCAAAACCCAGGGGGATTGCAAGACTGAATGAAAATAATGCTTCTGAAAAGAGTCTGCCACAGAGTCTCTGAGTTACTGTGCGATTTGGGAAGAGCACGACTTCCTCGAAATCCTTCCCCATAGAGGTATTTAAAACAGTTCCTCAAACTGTCAACTCTCTGCAGTGACTAGTGCCTATTGCGACTAGCACCTACTATTGGCCAGTAAGCACCATGAAGAGTTTCCAACGGTTTCCTTGCTTTGTCTCTGAGTCAGTATTGGCTTCCCCTGGTCACCTACAGTCACCGGCTTGCCTGAAAGCACAAGGGAATCAATGCAATTGAAACCAACATTTCGTAAATGCTGGGGTAAAAAGATTTCCGGTGGAATGTGTTTTGTGTTTGCTTTTTTTGCCGTGGGGGGCATTCTAAACAGCAACTTGCTTCAACTGTTTTTAATGGACACCGCTCTGGTGGCGGTGTCGGGGTGGTGGTGGTGGTGGCGGGGGTGGTGGCGGTGGTCGTGGTGGTGGTGTCGGCGATGGTGGTTGGCGTTGGCGTTAGCTTGGTTGGTGTGGTTGCTCAGACTCAATCCAAACAATGTCAAGTCCAGGGTTGCAGGCCTTAAAGGCGATCGCCGCATTGTTCACCAGAACATCCAGCTGCTGGTATCTGGGCACGTTAGCGATACCAACACGCTATGAGTTCTCGCTGATCGAAGGAGCAAAAAAGATAAACACGGAGGCAAAGAACGGAACTGCAAAAAGGAAGGCAACAAGTCAAGGGAAACATCAATTGCAAACAATAGGAAAGGGCACCCTGCCTCCCACAACATTGCACCATTGGGGGAGGGCACCCGGAAGATCACCAGCTTTTTCTTGGAGAGGCCTTTTTACCCGGCTTTGTGCGAAGGGCAAAGCGCTAAGTCGGGCAAGGGTACTTGGTCTCCATCTGTCTGGCAAAGGCCTCGATGGAGTCCGCAGAACCCAAGTCCTCGGCTTCTCGGCTTTCCGCACACGAATCACTTGAACAGGACACTCGAAAGGTCTCGGCAAAGAAACATGAAAAAGGGACACCTATGAAAAAGATCGACAAAGGGAAATCTATGAATAACTCAAAGATCGAAAAAGGGAAAGCCTCTGAAAGAAACCTGCATCACACAGTGGGGTGCACAGGGAGCCGGGCTTATTCAAGAACACCGCGCCTGCCGCCACCAAACGGGGGGTTCTTTATTCAAACAAGAAGTGGCGCCTCGACGTCTTCGTTTCCGAGGGGCACACTGAATTTTGTGTCAAGCTACGGGGTCTGAAAATTGACGCTCTGGCAAGTGAGCGGGTCTTCCATGTTCACGAGCCAGCACAAGATCAATCACCTTTAGAGGTAAGACATGGCAAAGTGCCAGCAGGTTAAAAGGATCTAAGATGCGATTCCCAGCGACCCTAGCTGCACCTTCCCCATTGTCAGGAAGCATCCTTCAGGCATGCAACACGGCCCAACAGCAAAGGCAATCACCTTTTGGGTTGCCATGTTTGCTCCCCCAAAGACATAATGGAATCAAGCAACAAACATATTTCTCTAGGAGTTCCCAGTAGGAACCTGGTTTGGGGGCTCCATGTGCAATTTTGCTGCAGGGAAGTACGGCTGGCAATGCCAGAAGGTTGTCCACTTCTTGCCCATGTCGAAATCATGAGAAACATGTCAGCACTTGCCAAGAATGGGTATGCGGGCTTATGAAGGATCCGCTCAGATTTATCCCGAATGGTACTGTCATTCCGCAGGCTTAGGTCAGGTAATTTGGCTTTGGGCGCAAGGGGTTGGGCAAAACTTGAGCGACAATTGAAAGAGAAAACCACGAGGATGTGTTTCAAACTCATGTGAATGGGTCGGCCAAACGTAAGTGGTTTGCCACTTTGTCTTAGGAGTATAGCGTCCACACACCGCCAACCTGAGGACAGTGATTCGAACACGTTCAATCCCAGCATTCAGGGGCTCATCCATCCTAGGGGTGCATGATTTTGTCCATCCAACAGAATGTTGCAGCCAACCCAAAAAAATACCTTGTTTGCGATACGGCTGTGGGTCAAAAATAGGCCCAAAATGGAACCCTTTTCACTGGAACCAAGGACATTCAAACCTGCGGTCCAATTCCTGGTGGTGACTCATTTTGGCCTTTATAGCCATACCTTGTTTGCCATCCAACATAATGTTGCAGCCAACAACCAAAACAAAAACATCCTTGTTTGCGACACCTCCTTTGCGACGTATTTATTCAGCGTGCACACGGGCCCACACCCCATACCACAAGCGTCCAAGATCTCAAACTCACAGCCCAGCTCCGCCGCGGCCTGAGTTCAGTTGTGGCCAACTGGGCTTCTCTTTTTCTAGCCCAAAATGCTGGCTTTTTTTTGGGGCGGATGCTTTTTGTGAACCAGCCAACAAAAGGGGTACCCTCAAGCAAGACACACCCAACTGAGTAAATCATTTTAATCCCACCAAGTTTTAGGAAACTCTACCTTCTACAAAGCCTCCACTCACCGGTGGACTTTGGTTTGAGGGCGGAGACTCTCCCAGTTCTTCCAAATGATCTTGCCTATTGTGAAACTGGACAGCGGCGGCATGTTTTTACGGAACTAGGCCTTGTTGCAGTTTCTTGGTAACCAATGCCAACACCCTCTACTATCTCGTTCTTTTTCATTGGTTCTCGTCTCTTTGGCGAATGTTGTGTCACTCCAAGACCGCGCTGGGCAAAGGTAGTTCCAACAGCGGAAATGACGTTTGGGGACATCTTGAGATGGCAGTATTTCAATGTCTTCCAAAACCCGACGTTGGTCCACTGGCATGGTTGTTGGAAGGGTAGTGCCAGTTTTGCAAGCATACCCTGCAGCAGCCTTCACTGCCACGCAATGCAGGAGAGACGTGGCAAGTGTGTGCCCTCTGGAGGGCCTTGCAACTGCGTTGAGTAAGAAACGTCAGAATCGGTTCGGCTTTTTTTGGATATTTTAGACCCATGTACGGAGCCTCGCGACACAATCCATGGGTGTTTTCCAGTGCGTTACGGATCTTTCGTGAAACTTGATCCAAAATTGACCAGCCAACGCTAAAGTCGTTCATTGAAAAAACAAAACTGGATCTCCCGATAGTGAATCTCCTTGATGCGTCGTATTGTCCAATGCTCTCAGATATATAACTACAAAGATGTCAGCTTACGCTCAAGCATGTCTGCAACCAAAGTCTTCTGCCGGAACAAACATATCTTTCACCAAAATCCATTGCAAAGCTTTCACGAGCACAGATGCAGTGCTGCAGTCCTTTGATGCCCCTTGTGTGGTGAGATATTCTCTACACGGACTGCTTGATCAGCTGCATGGGATCTTCCCAACCCCAAGTACATGGCACGAAGACAGTGTTCTTGTTGCGGCCCCCTAGAACCAACATACCAAGTGGATTGGTTTGTCCAACCCAGGGGCAGATTTCTTGTTGGTTCATCATACCAAATTTACTTCCCTTGTTGCGCAACTTATTTATAGTTCCCAACCCAAACATAAGGAATTTCGAGGCAGGAACCTTCGGCCAAGGCTTTCAGGACTTCAGGCGCCTTTGGCCCCGAACTAAAACATTCACATAAAACGTCCGAATCCCCAGGCGCCTTCCGCTTTGTACACACCCAATGCCGTTCTTATATATTAAAAAAAACTGGGGTTTATTTCCAACAAAACTCCTCTCAAAGTTTGGATGATCCCTGAGCGACCCAACTCGGTGCTCAAGCCGTAAGCCCATCGGCTCCGCCTTCGAGGCGAGCTCCACGCTTCGGCAGGCGAGGATCACCCGCAAGCCTGAGGCCTGAGGCAGACGTTGAACCAAACGAAGTTGGGAGACATATTTCTGCGGGTACCCTGGTATCCCCCGGCAAAGAAAAAATGCCCTACGGGTTTTGAAGGGTGTTGACCCAAGGCCAGATGTGAAATCGCCTGCTTGCATGAGTTGGACTCTGCTCTGATGCTCTGGACAGGACTTCTTGCGCACCTCGAGACCTGTTCTATGTTGGTTTGACGTTGGAGGGCTGGCTTCGTCGTGGGCGCTCTTCGAACCACCCCCACTGGGCGCGCGTCGCCCAGCAAGGTGCTCAGAACTTGAAGCACCCCCCTGACCGGCTGGAAGGTTGAGCTCTGGACTTGGAATTGGAGGAGCAAACGGATTCATGCTGGAGCACAGCAGCCGCGGTCTTTCACTTATCGCCAGCGACCACGATACACGCTATCAGAACGGTTTTCGTGGCTTGCGACGGTAAAGGGAGAGGCTGAGGCAGCGACCTGCCACCCAAGCCAGGTGGCAGGCTGCCGGCAACGACTAGCGGCAATACCGCGAAACTGCTTTGGTCAAAATTGATTGCAGGCAAACAGCAGGCGCCAAATGGCCTTGGGTCAAAAGCCCGTGCCCCCAATCAACATCCCAATCCCCACTAAAATAGAGTAAAATGGTGCGCCTATCCCAAAATGATACCATTGGTTTTGACCACAGCCAGATGTTCCGGACACAGAGCCTCAGTGCCCGCCAAGGGAGCAGTGCCGCTTGCTTGGCAATTCCTGGCACAGCTTGTCCTGTCTACTCCCGCGTGTCAGCTCAATTAGCACAGAGAGTGCGACAGCCAACGCTCGACGCTCGCTGCGATCGGCACCCCCGCGAACAATCCTGGCCCACGCTTGGCGGCCTCGAAGGACCTAAGGAGGCCCTATTTCACACGCTGCTGGGCAAGAACTCTGAAGTTCGAAGCTCTTCTCCCCTTATGGGCCAACAGTTCTGCGTGCGGTGCTTCGACATGCAGCAACGCAGGGGTGCTGTGCGAAACAGCTGGCACTTCTCGGTCTGAGAGGATGCTCCAGGACCGAACTCCAAGAAGATCAAATAGCTCGCAGCGCCCCTTCATGTGCAGTCGGTGTGTTGCCAAGGGTGGACCAATTCTGCGGTCCAGCTTTTGCCACTGGTTTTCAACGGCGATTTGCTGCGTGGTAGCTGCGAGAGCTGCCTTCGCCTTCGGGGAAACTCCTTCGCCACGGTAAATTGTTTTGCGGGCTCCTTGAGCCCAGAGCAGGCTGGGACGCACGAACACATGGCAAATATTCCCAAGGTACCTTGGCCTCGCAAGAGAACGAGAACACGGTGCTGGGCAAGGCCCAAGCAAAAGAAGATTTCTGCACCCCTTCGCATGCGAGGAGTTTCGCACGTTGCTATTCGGCAGGCGGACAAAATCCGCAGCGACACCGGCCATCCTTCAAGCTCATATTCTGGGCAACTCAAGTGCCGCTGAACAAAGACACCTTATACCCATGCTTTGGGCTACCAGTATAGCAGAAACTGTAAGCAAGAAAGAAATTCACAAAGCCTGACCCGCCCGCCCCGAAGCTCACTCAAACTGTCGGGAGCTCGCAAGAATTGAGGTGATCGGAACGTCCAGGGCGGCTTGACAAACAACTTTGTTGCCAGCCCAACTTATTGGAACCGCTTCTCGACCAAAGCGGGCCCACCAGTTGGCAAAGTGTCGGCCAATTAGGCGAATTGTCCGAGCGAAGCTGGGCAAACTTTTCTAGACGCTTTCTTTAGAGAAAACACCCTTGGTCTGGTTGCGGATGGCAATGGATCAAGAAACAAATGATTGCTTTTTGGAAGAGCCCTTTTTGGTGAAGCCACAGGGACACAGACCAGTTTGATAACCATTCTGAGACAGACCACGTTTTTTTCCTTTTGAGGCAACCCCAAAAATGGTAGATGTCATCTTTGGCTTCCATTTAAACACAAACCCAAAAGCGCAGCCTACACTTCCTCTCGGAGCGGAAAAGTGCGCCTTCAGCTGCCTCGCCGTGTGGAAGCCAACGCCCTTGTTCCCACCAGTGACGACCTTCGCTCACAGATAGCTCCCATCCACCGCTCTGGTTTTGTCAAAATGCGGCGGGCGTTTTCGGCAAAATGGGTTTCTCTGGTAGCTTCCCATTAACCGAAAGCAAATGGCAAGGGAACCGAATGATCCGCCTTGCGCAGGGTTGCCCTCCCGCCAACACACATGCGAATGTACAATCCCCCTTTGCGAAAGAAAAGTAGCCTTCCAAGAGGGATTTGCGCACTTCCACGCTTGCCTGTTTTAGGGTAAGTCTTTGGTCACAACTTAGCGTCTCTCGCAAATATGAGAACCTGCTCCCCAAACAGTGTGTCTGCACTACGGGGTTCTTACGGTGAGGGGAATCTACAGAAGCATTAGTAGAATTTCTGTCAGACAAATCTTGCGCGGAACCTCCTTCCACAGGAGATCTTCTGCAGGAGCTTCAGATGGCTTCTGTTTGAAGAGAACGTGCAAGACCTTCTATAGAGACCCCCGTGTGCATCTACTGCAGCTACTTTCACGTTACTTACGTGGGTTAAAGCCTCACTTTTCGACCACTGTTTGGGGTGACTTGGCGGGATAATTGTGTATGTGCGGTGCCTGGAGAACGCGTGAAAAAACCAGGTCGGTGAAGTACTTTGCGCCGAACTTGGAACAAAGGTTGAAAGATGGCAACTGACAAAAGCCAAAGAAAAACCCAACTAAATTCCTACCCTGAGGGCGCTGAACAAGCCAGGTACCTTCATGGGCATGACACAGTTCTCCCCCCCCCCCCCATTTCGCGGGAAACCTTGGTGAGAACCCCCTGCTGAATTGAACATATGTTGACCGAGCCTCGCAAAGACTCGTTATCGCAAGGAACATTATCAAACCTTTATATAAAAAGGGCCAACTGGGATCCTTATGCATTCTGACCATGTCCTATCCTGCAGGCAAACTAGAATCCAGACTCGTTTTTTGCCTTTAGGTAAGCTCGCCACTGGTGCAAACATGATGCACCACCCCTTGGAATCAGCATCATTCTTCCAACCGACTGTGGGGAAAAAACAATATGAACGAGTGTGTGTGTGTGTGTGTTGCGAGGTTTGCTTTTTTCTTCTGCGTGGATATGTGCCCTCCACGTTCGCCAAACCTCCTGCGGGAATCGGTCAAGGGTGCCATGGTTCGGAGTTCGGAACCTCCAAAGACTGAACATGTAGTTGAACTTGACGGGGCACCTCCCCGAACCCCGCCCCAAAAAAAAAAACAATGAATAAAAACCACGAGCACGCCACTAAACACCAACCATTTGGGGGGAAACCAACATGAAACCAACCATTCGGGGGGTTCCCCCCCCATTTCAAGACAAACACACGAAAACACTCACCCCTCGTTTTAAGGTTTGCCCCCGCTTCAAGACGAACTCACATGCGTCAGAATGAAAATTCATTGTGTCCTCAAGTTGACAATTGATTTTGGTGAGTGAGCTCACCTTTGATTTAGAGAGTTTGGTGAATGTGCCACTGTCATTTCAATTAATTGTTACACTGGGCCAGACTTTGATCCCCTTCGAAATATGGACTTCTACTGGTTGAAAGAGAACACAAAGGAACACTCAACAGGCACAAAGCCAGAAAGGCGAGCTATATAAGTCTGGCAATGTGAAAGTGCTAACGACCGTTGCTCATGGCCCCTCTTGGCTTCCCCACTGCCAGCCGCGTCAAAGCGGGATGAAGAGGCGCCGCCATGACCAAAACCACGAGAGGCCAAAGGCGCATATGCGTGGACTAGCTGTGTCTGCTGCTTTTGGTCGGAGTGCCTCACAGTTTACAAGTGACCCATGCAGAATAAACCCAGGTGGTATCCCCGCACCAAAACCCTCCTTTGAACCCTGCTTTTGAACCCTCGAAGCTGGCCTAAACCACCCCGAAGCCTATCTTTCTTGGCAGAGATCCCATAGCTTTCAGCTGTGTTTCTTTTTGGTGGGGTCAGCTATGTCCAGTGGCAAACTCTGCGACTAAACCTCCCTGGCACGAGAGGAGTAGTGGCATGTCAGCCCGACTGCGCAGGTTTCTACACGGTTGGGAACCAAAGGAAACCAACAGAAAGCCACAACTCTTCGTGTCCCCCTATTTAGACACATACCCAAATGAAAGTCTATCCGAATTTCGGAGACGTTGTGGAACCTCAAGGCACATGCGAGTCTACACCAAAAACTGACTGCAGCGACATCAACAAGACAAACCCCGTAGGCATGACTTCAATTGGATCATTGGTCGTTTACATCCACCAGTAGCCTTATGTAGGGCCTTTTTGGGCTCCCTCCCCCTCCCCTCCCTCCCCCCCGGCCCCTATGAACCAGTCATTTCTCATTTTGTTTGGGGGGAGGGGGGGGTGGGAGTCCCGCGAAAAAAGTCATCGGCGCGGGTTGGCCAAATGACATAGCAAGTTGCGACATTCCCTTCGAGGCGTGACGCCTCCAGCGTGAGGGGTGCGCAACAGTTGGGACATATACATACATATATGTCTATGTGTGTATACAACTGTTGCAAACAACATGAAAACAACCAAGTGACGTCGATGTTCCATGTAGGCCAATGATTCATCGCGAAAAGCAAAGACAGCCATCACGGAAAGTGGCTCATTGGTGCACTCATGCTCTTCCCGGAAAAGGTCTAGCCCTTTGAAGGTTTTCATGGGGAAAGCCGATTGTTTCAAGAGGGCCGAAGGGGCTAACTTAGCCGGTAGTTGCTCCAAACTTGATATGTTCCGACGCTGTTCCGCATAATTTTCGTTGGGGACCCTTTGGTGGACACCATTTCGGCGGGGATTTATGTCCACCAACCACTTTTGAGGGGTTCCGCGGCCTGCCTTTGGGGGCTTTGAGACCAGCCATCCTTTTCGTCACAGCAGGCGGCGCCGCACAGGGCGTTCCCGAGCACCCGCATGGCCCACGCGCTGCTTCATGTCCTGAATCGGAACCCCAAAACGATCCGAAAAGGCCATTTTCTCGGGGCTCCCTATACTCACTTGGCCAGTGACCAGTCAACAAAAAGTGTACACTTTTTGGGCCACCACTAGTAAAAAGGGAAAGCCACCAAGGAAAAAGTGTAAAGTGTGTCCACTGGCTGGGTGAGTATATGGGTGTGGATCAAAATTAAACCACACCGCAGGTTTTATTCCTGGGGCCCATTTTCGCTGGGTTTCATGTTGGGTACCCTTTGACCCACAGCCCGGCGCTGTGGGGTTCCCGGATGAAACCCATTTGCCCACAAGAACCAGGGGATATTCCAACGCAACAATCCAACCCAGCATCTCCTGGTTCTGATATATGATCTCCTTGTGCAGGAAACCAGGGGATCCCCACAAGAACCAGCAACTCGGGTTGCCTGAGATATGTTATCTCCTTGGACACCGCGCCAAAAGGACGCTCATCTGAGTGGAAAACGGAGGTGTGACTCTTACTGGGGCCGGACCCTGTGGACATCAGCATTGGGGGCCCAAACCATAGGACTACGGACATGTCTACGAGGAGTGCTATGTAGGTTTATATATATAATATATACAAATATGTTTTGTAGTAACCATAAGTATATGTTATATACAATTATATACTCTTTACAAATATGTTTGTAGTACTCATAAGTATATGTATGGCGCAATGTTCTTGATTTGGGACGGAATCCAGAGGAACCGTGTGTGTGTGTGTGTGTCATACCCAACTCAGGCCCACTCAAAGTTCCTCATTGATTGCTTTAGCGATCTTTTCACTCGTAAACCTGGGGCAGTGCTCCCTATTCCTCTTGAAACGTCACCCTATAGGGAAACTCACTTGAAACCGGCCCAAACGGTCGTGCTTCAACCAACCCCAATGAAACATATGGAGAATGCTGGAGGTCCACACACGTGGCTTACCTGACAAGTGGAGCAAAGCTCACCGTTTGGCCAACACACATCAAAACTTGGACCCCTTTGGCAGAAAATGACATCTTGCACGTCAAGTACGAGCTCGGCTTGGCATATACATATAAATTTATATATATATATATATATGTACATTCACAAGTGATCGATGAACGAAGCGAATTAAACGAGGCGCTCATTTTGGTCTTATAATCAGGTGCTAAGGGCAAGTATATGTACACAAGATATGACTTCCAATTGTTGACAACTATATCGTCTAAACTGTTGATCTGAGTTTATCTGCATAGTTTTTGGACTTCCAAACCTTTCTCCAGACTTCCAGGCCAGCCAGGTTGTTGTCGATTAAGATGAAAAGATGAAAGAAGCTTCCTTCGCACTAGCATAAAACACCGAATCCGAGGAAAGCGTTATATCCCGATGCTCTTTCCAGCAGGCAACCAACATATGTCCCGAAGTGTTCAACTGCTGATTTCCTCTTACCTAATGTGGCTTGCCTAGAAGCACAGGGCTAGAAACAAAGGTCCGAACGCTATGGACATAGGTTCAGGATCCATCCCCGCCCATTGAGAAGGGCTCCAGGGCTCTGAGAATCATTGTCTGGAATCCCCTCAGCGCCCTATTCAAAAGAAGCTCTCCCAAAGTTCGTCTAGTGGCTGACACACAATCACGCCGGGGTACTCCTAGAATTCACCAAGCAAGCCTCGCGACACCAAACACATGGGTCCCAACCAGACCTTGACTTTCCTGCGTTTTGTTTGGGTTGGTCTCCCAATTGGCCGGGTACCCTTCGAGTTCATGGGTAAGCCGCAAACGCACCCAACTTGTGCCCTTTTTTCCCACACTTTGCTTCAACGCGCCAAGACACACGAAAACTGAACATTCGAAAAAACCCAACATCGAGAAATAAAGAAGGCACCACGAAAACCGAAAATTTGAAAGGGCCAACCACAACAAACATAATTTTCCAGGTGCCGTCGGAATCAGCCCAACGGTCCGCTTTGTGCTCAACGGCTTTCCTCGTCCGCGCTGGAAACGGGACTTGACTCGTCTGAGATCCAGGCAATGAAGTCCACGAACACGGTGAGTTTGCCCATGGGCACCTGGGTTCTTTTTGTTTTTGTTTTGGGTCAAAAAGCATACGGGTCGGGGTGTTTTCTGGGTAAACGCACATGTGTGTGTGTGTGGTGTGTGTGTGTGTGTGTTTATTTTGTTGTGGTGTTTTTTTGGGGAAACCAAGAGGTTTTAGTAGCTTCAGGCGGCTTGACGAAAAAACATAGATATTTGGGAAAAGCGAGTTAAAGACGGAACTCCAGGAAATTTATGGAGAATGAATCCCCAGGGCGCTTAAATTTTGAGCCAATTCTCAAGATATTCCCAATGCACAATATTTCCCAAACCTGCGGTAAGGGGATCCCCAGGTAAAGGACGCTTCTCATGTACGCCCGAATCGGTGAGCTCGCAATAAACCAGTGGTAGATCCCCTTCAAAACCAACAAAATAAAACATATGGATATGAATTTAAGTAAGGACCCTTTGGTAGACATCAGTTAGCTGGGAATTTGTGTCCACCAACCACTTTTCAATTAAATGTTCATTGGTCTGTGGGTCAAAGCCCCTTACCCCTGGTGAACATCAACAATTGGTGGTACATGGAGTTCATCCGCCCCAAAACGAAGGCATAGGTTCTGACCCATGGCCATTCGGCTGTGGGTCAAACATAGGTACCCAAAATGGCAGCCTGGTAAATGGACACAATGACTAAAACAATGTGGTTTTCTGGTGGTGACGAATTTTGACCCAGACCCATTTCATCCAATGGACGTTTTGGTTTGGTGCCACTCGCCGACCCGCCCACTCGCCGACCCGCCCACTCGCCGCCGGGCCTTTCCCAGGCGCTCGCCCCCGGCGAGGAAGGCCTGGTACAGGTCCTCCACCACCTCTTGGCCTAAGCTGCGGGAAACCCATGAGCAAAAGAAACCGAAAATGGGTGGTGGCTTGATGGTGGCTTGGTGGGGGCTGGTGGGGGCTGGTGGTGGCTTGGGGGTTGCTGGTTGAGCGAATTCAAGCAAAAGAGTGGGGTGGTTTATGGTTTTGGGTTGAGGGACACCTTGAGCGACCTTTAGCTTCATAGCTTCGTGTCCCAAAATGTCAGACAACAAAAAAGCTCTTGCTTCTCCCTGCTTGGTGGTGGGCTGGTGAATTCCAGAAATAGCGACACCTCTTCTTCTCCCATGTTGGTGGTGGGTTGGTGAATTCCAGAACATGGAACACGTAATCTTCGCGTGAGTTCCGGAACATGGAACGTGTTATTCTCCCTGTTTGGTGGGCTGGTGAATTCCACAAAATGGGACACCGTTTCTGCTCCCAGTTTGGTGGTGGGTGTGAATTTCAGAGCAAGGGACATATGTTTTTCAACAATGATATCTTTTCATAATACCAGATTGGTGGTGGGATGGTGAGTTCCAGAACAGGGATACTTTTTCCAGGTTGGTGGTGCGTTCGTGAAGCTAAGAAAATGGGCGGGACGTCGGTGAATTTAAGAAAATGGGAGTTTGGTGGGGTGAGTTGCCTTGCCAAATTTGACATGGATTTTTTTTGGGGGCTTGATGAAGCCGAACCAGCCAAGTGGTTCTAGGATCCCTTCCGGTTTTTTTTATTTTTCCCACACCAACATTGATGCACTGTAGGACAGGGCTGGATCCACAACAGCCACATCCAAGCAGCATTCAACGTTTTAGACATGGATCAACGTTCAATCCGATGGGTTGGAGGTCGGGTTGGATGGCAGGCAGAAAGCCTTTCCGCTCGTTGGATGCTCCTTTGGCTTCCTAAGGTGGAAGCCACGAGGATGGCGGTGAAGGGGTCAATGGTGCGGAAATAGTAACATGTTGCACATATTTGTTGGCTACCTTTTGTGGAGGTTGGAAGCCAAAAAGACGGCAAACCACCTGCAGAGTCCACAATTCAGCGGATATGTAATGGTCAATTAGTCCAAAAGACTTCATACCAGCACCCCGGTCAATCAAGCCATAAACCAGCGGGGCCCTGTATGTCACATTCAACGGGTCCCCTGATTTTAGTATATACTGAAGTGGGTGACTTATGACGTGTCACCGTGTTTGCTCGAGGACGGCTTTTGAAGTTCACCTCCCATGTACTCCAAAATCGACATGGCCCAAAAACACTGGCAGCCGCCTCTTGGGGCGGGCAGCCAGAGGGAAATCTATATAAACAACAGGGATCTGGGCTCCTAGATCCCCTGCTAAAAGTCGCACTTCTACCCTCCCCCAGACTAACATGGAAGCTCCCAGAACCCTTGGTTCCATTTGCAGAGGCCTTCTGGGAGCTTCCATATTTGTCTGAGGGAGTGTAGTGGTTTAGTGGTGGCAATGTGTCCACTACACTTCCGGATGGCCGGGAGCCAAGGGATGACAAATTGATTGCCGGTGGCCAACTCAACGGATTGCCATGGAAGTTAGCCACCAACATCCCATGACAGTGTTCAGAACAAGAAACCAAAAATGGGTGGCTTGGTGGGGGCTGGTGATGGCTTGGGGGTTACTTGGGGTTGAGTGAATTCAAGCAAAGAGTGGGGTGGTTTATGGTTTTGGGTTGGGTTTTAGCAACATATCCTTGCTGGGGCATACTGAGGGAAAGCAATAGGAAGCCACTCTTTCGCACAGGGTCCCAACTCAGAGAGACAACCCCAAACAGTTTTGGAAGACTGGGGCTCTTCAAGTGGACGTTTCTAAAGATGGATTGCTTACCTTACCTTTCCCCCCCTTCCCCCTTCCCCCCTATCCCCCCCCCTTTCCCCACCTCCCTCCCCGCCCGAAAATCACCATTCCCAGGCCCACATCTGAAACACACTATAGACCCATATCTTCAGATTTTGGAATTGGTTCTGACCCAACATATATATATATATAGTCTACCCGACATATATAAACATTATATGTTCTCCACCCAACATTTTGAAATTGGGTCTGACCCCTTCGGCCAAAGGGCACTCCTTGTCAAAGGCCTTGAAGCCGTCCCGCACGCCGAACTCCCAGAGAGCAATGCCTTTCGGGCCTTCCTCGCGACAAAAATCGGCGTGAACTTGGCCTGCCCGCTGTTCTCCTGATGACCTTTCCTTGGGTTTTTGGGTGTGCTCTCTGGGTCTCTTTTGGGTTCCCTTTGGGTTCCCTTTGGGTTTTCTTTGGGTTTCCATGTCCACTTGTGGTGCTTCAAGATGGGTCAAGCAATGTTCAACCCTGACCCACAAACAGAGGGAGATGTTTCCAAAGGTTCGCCCAACCTCACCAAAGGGCCGCTCTTTGTTTGACGAACATCCCACCTTCAATGTGAAAAGGGTGAGTTTTATATGTCTGTGGCACCTTGGTAAATGGAACCAAGGACTAAAACCTGCATAACCCCTAGTGTTTTAATTTTGAGCCACACCCAATATATCGATAACCCCGCAATCGACAAGTCTTTCCAAAAAGAAAGGAAACTAATTCAAATCGCAGTTTCCGATTGGGACTGCCCCTGTTAAAAGGAATACCTTTTAGTGGTTTAATACGGAAAACCCATTAGTTGGCAAAAAGTCAAAGTCCTAACATCCAAGCAAAACGCACCAAAGAAAACTTGTGCTACTTGGCTTTGGCTCATCAAAATCCATGAGGGTGAGACAGGTGAGCCACTCAAAGGTTGAATGGCCCTGGTCAGCCCGAATTTTTGCCTCAAAGCTCCCATCCCCCCCCTCCTGCAATCCCCAAAAGGTGTTGCTCTGGAACTGATGATTCTTGGGTTCGATGTTCCGCGTTTAGCCCTAGCCGGCCTGCTATGATCAAGTACTGGCTCTTTGAGCTCTGAATGCTCGGCCCTAGCCTGATTGCTTCCCCTAGAAATCACAGCTTTTTGGCTGTTCACTTCCCTTCTTTGCTTAAGTGGATCACAGTATGTCATCTTCCCACCTCCTGAGTGGATTGGCCAGAAAAAGCAACCAAACTGTTGATTTACCACTAACATGCTCCAAACCCAAAGGTCTGCAAAGTTCAACTTGGAATTGACGGCTTGGCAATTCTTCTGCCAACAAACCTATATGCCATTAAATTGTTTTTGTGTACCACTAACATGGCTGTGGCTCAAAAAACCGGCACCACAATGAAACCCTGGCAAGTGGAAACGTGGACCAAAACCTGCGTCCCCCCCCCCCCCCCGGTTTAATTTTGAGCCACACCCACACGGTCCAAACCCAAACGCTTTTCAACTCAGGGAAGTCAGTCTGCCTTCACTCGCGCCAAGACTCGGGTGCCCTCCGAGCGCCCGCATCGGAGGCCGAGGCCGTCCTAGCGACGAAGCGGGCGGGCGGCGGATGTTCTTCGGTCACTGGAGTCACTGGACTGGTCGTTTTCTCCTGACTCTCTAGCGCTGTTTTCCCTCACGCCAGCAAAAAGGATCAAAAAGGTGCGAAAGCCAAACGGGGATCTGATTGGGACCCTGTTCGTGAGCCTCACTGTTGTAGGCTTGTGCCCCATGTACCTGAATGATCCTAAACAAATCTGGATATTCTAGCGGAACCTCACGTGAAGGCTCGCAAAGTCCTTACAGAGCTTAGATAACCAGCTAGCAAATCGGCAGTGCAAAAGCAACGCTTTTGCATCGCAGTTGTCCCCCCCGGTCTCGCATTCGTTCTGCTCTCTTCTCTTCTTGTTTCGGTGACCGAAAAGGGGGAAGAGTAAACAGATGTAAGATGCAAACATATGACTATCGATTATTCATGTCATGTCACTTCTCAATTTCTAATATTCCTTTCACCATCTTTTTACTTCCTACCTTTCTATTTCTAATATGATTCTCTATCTAGAACTTTTTCAGAATTCTAGCTACCGAGCTAACAGAAGCGAGCCGAGAGATAGCGAGGGAAAGAGATGGTAGGTGATGGACGCAAAAGAAATTCGGAGGGGGGGGATCCGCTTTGGTTTACCTCTAAACCAAGCCTAAATAGGGTATCCTCAAAAACTCTCATCATCTCTCAGGCCCTCCTGGCACCACCAGCTCCAGTCATGCCAGCATCTGGCACCCTTCTGCCCGAGCTCGCCGGCGCTCCGTCCTCACAAGCAAAACGCGCGTAATGCGACCATATTTAAAAACTTTGGATCACCCCCGGCGCCCTGTTACCGCTGCTTTTTGATCTCATCGCACAGTGCTTGAGGTTTTTGGAGATGTGAAGAAGCAGTCGAGGGTCGCTGGCTAAGGATCTCGTTCAATACACATCAACCTCTCATGCCGCATAACAAACCAGGCTCGCTTTCCCTCTGGTTGCCTGCAATGCATAATTGGAGGCAGTTGTGACTCCTGACACAGCTTTCATCAGCCCACTGCAAATATCGGGGTGGCGGTGGCGGAGGTGATGCGGGCAGCGGACCTTTAGATTCTTCTGGGCTGTCAGTCAAGACTCTGGTGCACTTCTGGCAGTGCTGGCTGCTGGAGGATCGGCCGTCCTCAGGGCAAAAAGCATAACGTAGCACAGGGTGCTGAGGCTGCATGCATCATGACTCATGACCAAAATAGCAGAACGCCAAAACGCCAGAGCGGTCCAAACATGGCAACTCCAAGCAATGATCTGCAACGCGCACACAGTGAAGTCACAGTCGATTCACAACACATGATCTGGCAAGGCCAGTGTTTCAGGATGCTACAACGTGAGTCTAGACCTGCTTGTGGCATCTACACTGCAAGTTGCAACACCATCTTCTGATCCATCCGCAGCCCTTCCCCCCTCTTCCCAGCCCCTCTCCCCCCTCTGTTGCTCAATCCGTCTCTCATCATCTCTCACCCTCTCCTGGTGCGACCAGCTCCAGGCATGCCAGCATCCGGCACCCTTCGGCCCGGCCAGCACTCGGGCGCTCTATCCTCACAGCAAAACGCAAGCAGTGCGACCATATAGATTCAACAACTTTCGATCACCTTCCATGCCCTCTAACGACTGTTTTTGATCTCATCGCACAGTGCTTGAGGTTTTTGGAGATGTGAAGCAGCAGTCGAGGGTCGCTGGCTAAGGACGTCGTTCAAAGGCTCACTCAACAAACATCAACCTCATATGCCGCACAACAAACCAGGCTCGCTCTCCTGGTTGCGCAAATCATATTTCTAGGTAGTTGTGACTCGTGATACTGCTTTAATTGATTAGCCCAGTGCACAAATAACGGGGTCTGCGCTGTCAGTCAAGACTCTGGTGCACTTCTGGCAGTGCTGGCGGCTGGAGGATCGGCCGTCCTCAGGGCAAAAAGCATAACGTAGTAAAGCGTGCTGAGGCTGCATGCATCATGACTCATGACCAAAACAGCAGAACGCCAAAGCGCCAGAGCGGTCCAAACATGGCAACTCCAAGCAATGATCTGCAACCCGCACACAGTGAAGTCACAGTCGATTCACAACACATGATCTGGCAAGGCCAGTGTTTCAGGATGCTACAACGTGAGTCTAGGCCTGCTTGTGGCATCTACACTGCAAGTTGCAACACCATCTTCTGATCCATCCCCAGCCCTTCCCCCCTCTTCCCAGCCCCTCTCCCCCCTCTGTTGCTCAATCCGTCTCTCATCATCTCTCACCCTCTCCTGGTGCGACCAGCTCCAGGCATGCCAGCATCCGGCACCCTTCGGCCCGGCCAGCACTCGGGCGCTCCATCCTCACAGCAAAACGCAAGCAGTGCGACCATACAGATTCAACAACTTTCGATCACCTTCCATGCCCTCTAACGACTGTTTTTGATCTCATCGCACAGTGCTTGAGGTTTTTGGAGATGTGAAGCAGCAGTCGAGGGTCGCTGGCTAAGGATCTCGTTCAATACACATTAACCTCTCATGCCGCATAACAAACCAGGCTCGCTTTCCCTCTGGTTGCCTGCAATGCATAATTGGAGGCAGTTGTGACTCCTGACACAGCTTTCATCAGCCCACTGCAAATATCGGGGTGGCGGTGGGGGCGGAGGTGATGCGGGCAGCGGACCTTTAGATTCTTCTGGGCTGTCAGTCAAGACTCTGGTGCACTTCTGGCAGTGCTGGCTGCTGGAGGATCGGCCGTCCTCAGGGCAAAAAGCATAACGTAGCACGGCGTGCTGAGGCTGCATGCATCATGACTCATGACCAAAACAGCAGAACGCCAAAACGCCAGAGCGGTCCAAACATGGCAACTCCAAGCAATTCTCCGCAACGCACACACAGTGAAGTCACAGTCGATTCACAACACATGATCTGGCAAGGCCAATGTTTCAGGATGCTACAACGTCTAGGCCTGCTTGTGGCATCTACACTGCAAGTTGTAACACCATCTTCTGATCCATCCCCAGCCCTTCCCCCCTCTTCCCAGCCCCTCTCCCCTCTCTGTTGCCCCGTCTCTCATCATCTCTCACCCTCTCCTGGTGCGACCAGCTCCAGGCATGCCAGCATCCGGCACCCTTCGGCCCGGCCAGCACTCGGGCGCTCCATCCTCACAGCAAAACGCAAGCAGTGCGACCATACAGATTCAACAACTTTCGATCACCTTCCATGCCCTCTAACGACTGTTTTTGATCTCATCGCACAGTGCTTGAGGTTTTTGGAGATGTGAAGCAGCAGTCGAGGGTCGCTGGCTAAGGATCTCGTTCAATACACATTAACCTCTCATGCCGCATAACAAACCAGGCTCGCTTTCCCTCTGGTTGCCTGCAATGCATAATTGGAGGCAGTTGTGACTCCTGACACAGCTTTCATCAGCCCACTGCAAATATCGGGGTGGCGGTGGGGGCGGAGGTGATGCGGGCAGCGGACCTTTAGATTCTTCTGGGCTGTCAGTCAAGACTCTGGTGCACTTCTGGCAGTGCTGGCTGCTGGAGGATCGGCCGTCCTCAGGGCAAAAAGCATAACGTAGCACGGCGTGCTGAGGCTGCATGCATCATGACTCATGACCAAAACAGCAGAACGCCAAAACGCCAGAGCGGTCCAAACATGGCAACTCCAAGCAATTCTCCGCAACGCACACACAGTGAAGTCACAGTCGATTCACAACACATGATCTGGCAAGGCCAATGTTTCAGGATGCTACAACGTCTAGGCCTGCTTGTGGCATCTACACTGCAAGTTGTAACACCATCTTCTGATCCATCCCCAGCCCTTCCCCCCTCTTCCCAGCCCCTCTCCCCTCTCTGTTGCCCCGTCTCTCATCATCTCTCACCCTCTCCTGGTGCGACCAGCTCCAGGCATGCCAGCATCCGGCACCCTTCGGCCCGGCCAGCACTCGGGCGCTCCATCCTCACAGCAAAACGCAAGCAGTGCGACCATATAGATTCAACAACTTTCGATCACCTTCCATGCCCTCTAACGACTGTTTTTGATCTCATCGCACAGTGCTTGAGGTTTTTGGAGATGTGAAGCAGCAGTCCAGGGTCGCTGGCTAAGGACGTCGTTCAAAGGCTCACTCAACAAACATCAACCTCATATGCCGCACAACAAACCAGGCTCGCTCTCCTGGTTGCGCAAATCATATTTCTAGGTAGTTGTGACTCGTGACACTGCTTTAATTGATTAGCCCAGTGCACAAATAACGGGGTCTGCGCTGTCAGTCAAGACTCTGGTGCACTTGTGGCAGTGCTGGCTGCTGGAGGATCGGCCGTCCTCAGGGCAAAAAGCAAAACGTAGTATCGCGTGCTGAGGCTGCATGCATCATGACTCTTAACCAACGCAGCAGAACGCCAAAACACCGCAGCACCCAAATCCTCAAACATGGCAACTTACAGCACTTATCTGGAACACACACTGAGTAAACAGTGACTCGCTTCGCACCAAAAGATCTGGCAAGGCCAGTGTTTCAGGATGCTACATCATCAGCCTAATTAGGCATGCTTGTGGCAGCAACACTGCAAGTTGCAAAAAAACATATGCTCCATCCTCACCTCTTCCCAGCCCCCCTCTTCTCTCCTCTGTCGCCCCGTCTCTCATCATCTCTCAGCCCCTCCTGGCATGACCAGCTCCAGTCATGCCAGCATCCGGCACCCTTCTGCCGCCCGGCGAGCTCTCTGGCGCTCCATCCTCACAATCCGAGGAGCAAAACGCAAGTAGTGCGACCATAGAGTTTCAACAGCGTGAAGAAGCTGTCGAGGGTCGCTGGCTAAGGATGTCGTTCAAAGACTCACTCGACACACATCAACCTCTCATGCCCTTCAACAAACCAGTGCATAATTGGAGGCATTTGTGACTCATGACACTGATTTGATTAGCCCCCTGCACAAACAACGGGGGTGGCGGCGGGGCGCAGGTGATGCGGGCATTGGATTCCTCTGGGCTTTCAGTCAAGACTCTGGCGCACTTCTGGCAGTGCTGGCTGCTCGAGTATCGGCCGTCCTCGGGGCAAAAAGCATAACGTAGTAAAGCGTAGTGAGGCTAGATGCATCATGATTCATGACCATAACACCGTAACTCCAGAACGATCCAAACATGGCAACTCCAAGCAATTGTCAAGCACTCAGTGAACTGTAAGTCGCTCCACAACACAAAATTCGGCAAGGTCAGCGTTTCAGAATGTGAAACACCAGTCTGAGCCTGCTTGTGGCAGCTACACTGCAAGTGGCAGCATTGCAAACGAAAGGCTTCTTTGGCAGCCCACGCCCCCCTCGCCTCAGCCCTTCCCACCTGTTCCCAGCCCCCCTCTTCTCTCTGTTGCCCCGTCTCTCATCATCTCTCAGCCCCTCCTGGCATGACCAGCTCCAGTCATGCCAGCATCCGGCACCCTGCTGCCGCCCGGCGAGCTCTCCGGCGCTCCATCCTCACAATCCGAGGAGCAAAACGCAAGTAGTGCGACCATACAGTTTCAACGACGTGAAGAAGCTGTCGAGGGTCGCTGGCTAAGGATGTCGTTCAAAGACTCACTCGACACACATCAACCTCTCATGCCCTTCAACAAACCAGGCTCGCCTTCCCTCTGGTTGCCTGCAATGCAGAGTTCGAGGCAGTTGTGACTCCTGGCACTGCTTTCATCAGCCCACTGCAAATATCGGGGTGGCGGTGGGGGCGGAGGCGATGCGGGCAACGGACCTTTAGATTTCTCGGGGCTTTCAGTCAAGACTCTGGCGCACTTCTGGCAGTGCTGGCTGGTGGAGTATCGGCCGTCCTCGGGGCAAAAAACATAACGTAGCACAGCGTGCTGAGGCTGCATGCATCATGACTCATGACCAACACAGCAGAACGCCAAAACGCCGCAGCACCCAAACCCGCAAACATGGCAACTCACAGCAATTGTCTGCAGCAGATCTGGCAAGGCAAGTGTTTCAGGATGCTACAACATCAATCTAGGCCTGCTGTGGCAGCTACACTGCACGTGGCAACATTGCAAAAGCAAGGCTTCTTTGGCAGGCCCACACCCCTCACCATCTCAAGTCCATGTTTCTGCTCCATTCACCTCTTCTCAGCCCCTCCCTCTCATCATCTCTCAGCCCCTCCTGGCATGACCAGCTCCAGTCATGCTAGCATCCGGCACCCTTCTGCCGCCCGGCGAGCTCTCCAGCGCTCCGTCCTCATCCGAGCGAAGCGGAGAAATAGCACTTCACCAGCACTTCACCAGCACTTCACTCCACCCCAGATATCACAATGCCCTACGGGCAACCACACTGCAAAGTCGTGTACGATGCTTAACTGGGGGCGCTTTGGTGGACAGCATCTAGCTGGGGATATTTATGTCCACAAGCCACTGTTGAGGGGGTCCAACTCTTAAACTTCGTAGCCAACCGGCGAATATGCGGGCAACGGAACCTTCGACTCCTCGCCAAGGCGCTACTGCACTGGCAGTGGCCGCTGGCACATCGGGCATCCTCCAACTCACTTGCCCAAAGGACCCAGAAATAAAAGGTGATCACCTTTTGGGGCCATGACTAAAACTAGACCAAAAAGAAGAAACCAAAAGGTCAACAGGTCGATTCGCTTTGGGCAACTGAGCCACATCGACAGGAGCACAGAAGCTTCGTCAACATCAGCCCCTACGAAGCTCTTCCTCTATGGCCGTCTTTCTGGGGCCTGGAGCTTGTGCACAGATCAAGAGCCCGAAGTACCCAAGGGCTTTTTTTTCCGTTGTTTTTTTTGTTTTAGTTTGTTTTAGTTGTTTTTCCGTTTTCCCGGCTCAAGTGGCAAGACTGAGCTGACGGCTAAGACCTGAAGAAAGGTATCCAACCCAAGGAGCAAGAAGAGCAGCTGCTGGCGAATGTGCATCAAACCTCTCCCCTTTGGGCTGTGGCATGTGGTGACAAATTTCTGCCAAACCCAAGACAAGTTGCGCAAATGCTGACTGACTCAAAACAGTGGCATGGATTGTTGCTTTCCGACTCGAAACCATCCACATGGCCATCTATCCGACTCTGGACGCGTGTCCCCCGAATTTTCAGAATGCATGGCACCCTGGGGAGAGCTCCAGAATGAGGATCCCCCGAATCTGGAGGAAATGTGTTCACCACCTCCAATTGGGCGTACTTCCCGTGCATTTTCCCTCCAGATTCTCCAATTGGTCGGCAAACCTCAAAGCGAAAAAGTGCATTTTGCGAGTCCCCCGATTTTGACACCTACTAATAGTGGTGGGCTAGGCACTCAATGGCGCTGGGCGATGTTTCAACAAATGTAAGACAACTTGCCCGAAGCACCTTTACAGTGTGCCGATTCCTCAACGCAGAGCAACAAAAGCATCTGCGAAATACGTGGATACCAAACTCAAAATTCGGCAAAGGCGAGACAACAAACAAAAACTAGGCATCCTGAACAGACCTAATAGGCCCAACGGCAACATGCTAAGGGAAGCACAACAAATACCTAAACAAATGCCAAACAAAGTCAAGAAGGGAACACACACACACACACAGAAAGCAAGACGCAAAGCGGACTCTCGCCGTTTCCAGCCTTGCCGCTTTTTCTGGCGCCGCGGGCGCCTTTTCCGCCACTGGTGGTGGCGCATCGCCGCCTGCATGCAGCTGGGAGCCTCTCTCCTGCCTGTTTTTGGACAAGAGTCAAAATACATGGTTGGAAAAGGGTCCGTGGATTGGCACAGAACCTTGACTTCTCGTCCGAGAATGGTCTTCCGTACCGGAATGGTCGGATAGAATCCAGACAGCCAGGGTTCCACAGAACCTCCAAGCGGCTCCTGTGGGGTAGATACCTGGCAGATCGATTTCTTGAAGGGACTCTCTGCCGGGATGTCTCCAAACGGGAACCCCCAGCACGGCATCCAGCGTCCCTTTCACTTTTCCTTCAAAGCAGTGCCAAAGCAGACATGTACTAACTCGCAACAAAGAACAAACATTGTTTTTTGATCCTCAAAGTATAAAACTGTTTGGAGAAAAACGTGGTCCGGTTTTGATTCAGGTAAGGTCAACAATCAACAGGTCAGCCAGTTTCAATCCTTCAACCCTTACTTCCCAACTAAGCCAAAACAAGTGCCAGCACAACAACAAACAGACCTCCGGTTGCCACAGAAAAGAGGAACCCACTTGATTTTTGCCGGGCTTCGGACCAAAATAAGTTGGGTTTTCGGAACCGGCCACAGGCTGGTCTTGTTGCCACCTTTTGTCACTACAAGGGGGTCGATCATTTTTCCACCAAAGGTGGCAAAAAGACTCCCCTGCACGGCTGGCCGTGGAGCTTTGTCAGATCTCGCCTCTTGCCCACGGCAGCTTCCGGCGCTTCGGCGTGGAGCTCGACATCGGTGACGTTTGGGCGGGTGCTTGCGGGTTGCGGGGTCAAGCTCGGGCTGGGGCCTAAGGGAAACCCACAAATGTCAAACACGGGTGTGGGGAGATGCAAGATGGACCAAGGGAAAATCGCCACGGCCGACAATTGTTGGCCTTGGTTGAGGTTTCTGGCGTAGTTCTAGGGACTTGTGCATAGGGCACGCAAGCACTGCTTGCTACTCGCGGCCCCTTAGGTCCACTAGCTTTTCGTGAAGTAGTAGAGGGACTCCACAAACTCAGCTTCCCAAACCAATCCAAACCACCAACTAGACGGCTACCTGAACGATGGATGTTCCTTTCGGTCTCTCTTCCCAAAAAGGGCGACACGCCAGCCCTAAAAAGCTCAGGATGCGCATCCTGAAGCCGTCAGAAGCGCTGGCGCCGGCCCCTTCAAGTGGGAAATCACAGAAAACAATAAAACGTGTCAAGCACCCTTGGTGTTTACCCTTCATACATATATATATATATATATATATATACATACACATATATCTATATATAGATATATATGACGCGCACTACCTGTGTTTGTCGTTTTCATAGCCATGATCCTTGTAAACAAGTATCTCCAGGTGAGCATGCGGATATATGTATATATATACATAATATATATATATATATATACACATAATATATATATATGTATATATTATATATATATATGATATATATATATATATATATATCAGGTGCACATACCCGGCACATGGTCGAGCATCCTGGTGCTTCTTGACAGACTTAAGATTATGGGGAATATAAGAATCACCATTGATGAACCACTCGAGATACTTAAATGGTGTGGATGGAAGGTTCATCCCCGTATTCAACCTATTCCAGCAACATCAACTAGCAACTAAGTAACTCCCATGTATCCCACGAACGAGGGAATCAAGCCCGCGGCAAGTGATGTCCTGAGTGGAATATCCCGGAAAAACGGCGATGTTTGACACCAACAAGACCTTCTTTCTGAAGGAAGCCATGTCAAACACAAACAGCTGCACATGTCTTCTCCCCGCACCAATCGTCCGAAAGCAAAATTCAAAAACTGGGACAGCCCAGCCATGACTGAGCTTATTAAGCGGTTGGAGATGGGGAAAAGCAGCGCTTGCAAAAAAGGGAATCTTCCGTCTTTTGGTCCCGAAAATCATGACCTCCTGCGGCCAGGACTGTCTGACGTGTCCCGCTATTGAGACTTGCCCGACCAGACCCAGGCCCAACCAGCAACCCACCCAAGCGTGGGACGCCTCACACAAGCCAGCCTTGTCTCAACCAGCGGCACATGTCTGGGCCCAGCCCTCAGGCCCAGCAACATCCCGGCCCGCAAGGCCCAGCCCAGCCCGCCCTGTCTGCTGGCTCCACGACTCACTCCTGGTCCTGTGCGTCGCCTTGCCCTTGCCTCGGGGATTCCTGCGGGCCCATGACATCAATTGGTCCAACGACGCCAGAACCTGTCCATGCCTGAATCGCCACTTGACCAGCTGCTTGCAGTCGAACCACAGACGCTGCGCGCTCGGCTGGGCCGAGGCGAGCAACGCGCAGCGTATGCAATTTGTCATTAATAATCATAAATAACAACAGAAAAAACGCTGGCGCTGCTGAAAGGAACGGAGAACCCAACGCGCTGCAGGCGGTCGCACCCAAGGATTCTCGCTGAGCCAGGGGTTGTCCTGCCTGGGCCCGGATTGGATCGCAAGCCCTGATGGCAGGCTAGAAGTAGGAGTAGTTCCCCTCGTGGCAAGCAAAGAAGGTGACCAATTCGCCGATTTTTAAACCACGGTTGTGACCAAACTGTCATGTATCCCCAGTTCACCTTATTGATCGTAAGCGAGGCTTAGAAGAGTGGCCGTGTCAGGGTTCCTTTCTTGGAGTGTGGTTCTAAGGTTACCTTCCCGGGGTTTCCGACATAGAACCTGGGGCGTGCAACGGGGTCCCCTTAAACCGCCGTGCAGATTCCATATTTGTTTGTGAGAGTGGAACTTGTTCCTAAAATTAAACCAAACAAAAAGAGAACCGACTTTTTGGGGGTTCCTCCATGAGCTGCTATGGTCAAGTCCAACAACGGCACCCAAAAGGAACCCCACCCTCCCCTAGTCCCCTAGTCCTTGGCTATTAGCTCTGGGATTGGGGGGTCCTTGGGCTCACTTCTTAAGTTGATTGGCCACAGGAAAAGTGCAAAACTTGTGTTTTTCTTCCCCCTAAAATGGCCAATGAACTCAGAAAGTGAGTGGGGGCACTTGACAACCATAGGACCCCATGGATCAGGGCGGAGTTTTTTTTCGCCAGGGGCCAAGACGAAAAGGGCCGTGGGCACGGAGAGAAACAGCCTCTCCAAGTCATGGGACTTGGGCGCCCTGGACAACAGAACTCATGCGCGGGATCCATGGAACTCCGGCTGCCAAAACATCTAAGGCTGGCTCGGCTCTACCAAAAACACCAGCCATAAAATGACATCATGGTCCAAAGACCTGCAAAGCGCTGAACATGTTGCTAGGGTGGGAATGAACTGCCAATTTCGAAAAGGTTTAAAGGGTTAAGGTCAAACCAAACAAAGCACCCGGGTACTTATTGGGCTTAGCAATCTCCACTTTCTGGCAGTTCGTTGAGTGTCCCCATGCCCAGTCGTCTTCCTACAAAAAGGCGAACGGACTATTGTCTCACAGCCCTGCCACACACCCTCAAGGCCAAGGGTAGGTTCCCTCAGCAAGGCCCCCCCTCGAGTAGAGGCTGCATGCTCCATTTGTGGATCCATGCCAGGAAGAGTTGAAAAGGAATCAAACTTGTACCGCACGAGGGTGCAAACAGCTTGAATCAAAAAACCATGGGCAGATGTTTATATTGCTACTCTTCCTAGCGCCCCGTAGTCCGAAGCGGACTTTCTTTTTGCAAGACAAATGCCGCGGTCAACATTTTGCGAGCGTTCCCTTGGATTTTGGTGAGTGATACAATCTATTTGACGGTCCCAGCTGGCCCATTTGGTTTCCCTATCTACAGTGTAAACATTGACTGCTCCAAGCTCACAAGCTAGTGTTTTTTTGTTTTTCCATTTTGTCAAGTCTTTGCCTGTTAGTTTTCGTGTTGTTAAAGATGAACCAAGAGGAACCTCACCAGTTACCTAATAGCAAACGCAGGTCTGGAGAGCCAAAATGGCGCCTTTGAACTGGCATCTGCCAACTGCCGGCCTGGAGCCTTGTGAGTCGCCTGAAGGCGGCGGCAACGGCACTTCAGCCTCTCCGGGGCTTACCTCGGCGTGTTCGAGCAGCTTTGATTGGTGCTTCCTTCATTTGGAAAAAAAATTGCCCCGCGCAAATCCAGTACGACTAACGATGAAAACTAACGATGAAAAGGCCCCCCCGCAAATGTCTGAAACCTGAACCCACCAGCCTCCATGCACCTGACATGCCCATCACGGAGAAAGTAGCAACCGAGAACCCTTTCGCAGTTGATCGCAGCCTCTCCTGTCTGCTTCCGGCTCAACCCCTGTCATGTTGAGCCGATTCAGGTAGTTTTTGTTTCTTAATGGTCGTTAAGTGAAACAGTGAAATCTTAACATTGAGAAATATAGTGATGCAAAATGATCAAACAATTCTGACTCCAGTTACTTTTCTAGAGGCAAAACATGAGGATACACGGAAGGAGCATCCGCCGTGCAACCCCCGCCATCCGTCACGCATGGGATTGTAGCCATGGCCAGCTCCGCTTTGGCCCAAGAAGTCCTCAACAACCCCACATAGACACCCAGGTGTGAAAATTGGCAGCACCGTGCACCAGGGTGAACGGTGTCTCCCATGATATGATATCATTAGACCAACCCCAAAACAACGGGTATCCGCAAAAAGAAAATAAAAAACACTCACACAGGTGGAAAAGGCACGTGATGCAAGCATAGCGTCATCAACATCCGCTACTATGTGGCAGATGGCTCCATCTGGGCGCTGCATGGGCCGAGATCACAATGGCAAGAGACGAGACGAGTGTGGAACTGATCTTTCTCGACAACTGGAGCGGGGGCCAAGATAAGACCCAAATCATGCGCCACCGCCCTCCCCGCGCCGGCCAACCGCACGGCCGAGAAAAACAAAAAAACGGCTCGGCGCCCGGCGCCCTGGATGGTCAGGGGGCCCGAGACCTCAGCTCTCCAGTCCAATCCACGAGGGATCTGAGTTCTCCGTGGAGTTCAACCCAAAGGCTGCGGATTATTTTTATTTTTTTTGCGACTTCTCTTCCCCCCCCATTGTTTGCTTCTCCGTCTTTTTGGGACTTCTTTCAACTTCTTCGAAAAGGCGCATCATGCCAGTTTCGAAATGAAATCTTGAATGTTGCCGTGATGATTGTGTGGGCAGTGCTGTTTGCCAAGTGCAAAACAGAACCAAAAAGCCACATTTAAGCTTGTTTCAGGGTTTTGCCACATGGTTGCTAGTTAAAGGGACCCCCTTCTGGTTAGTTGAAGGGCAACCAAGAGGACACCAACCATTTTAGAGGACCCATGCAGTTGCTCAATTGCTCGCCCAAAACCCGGCCGGTTCTTGTTTGTACTGTTGCAATTTCATGGTGTTAAACACGGGGTCTGGAAAAATCGAACAGTTGCCACACAGCCACCCAACACAGCCACCCATTCCTTTGGAGTATGTTTGGAAACAAAACGTTTGAAGTGTAGTCACACGGGCTTTTTTATGTGCCCTTTTAAACAACCGGCAAAAATGCCAAGCCAAAATCACACCAATCAATGATTGGGCCAATCACTGGCGGCCCCCCACTTGACGACTTTTGTGGACTCCATCCTGCTTCAAGGTCCCTCGAAGTGACACCTATCTGGGCTCCGGCTTTCGCCGAAGGTGAACCTGGAAAGCCACCGGGAGAAGCCGAGCCCCTGATCCCTTCGGGACGCCTCCTTTCATGATTGGTGTTTCTCAAGATGGACCCTCTTGGTTTGAAGAGTCCGGAATGGACCCTCTTGGTTTGAAGAGTCCGGAATCCAAAGGAACCATTTTCAGGGTCCCAGTTTAAAAAAAGCCAGAGCTTCCTTCACGCCCGGAATCGCCTTTGGCCTTTGGCCCCGAGCGGTGAAGCCGGTCACATTGTCGTCCTCCTCCATGGCATCCACCTGCGACTTCCACAAGTGGTGAGCTTGCAATAAACCAGTGGTAGAACCCCTTTTAAACCAACAAAATAAAACATATGGATATGAATTTTAAGTAGGGACCCTTGGGTAGACATCAGTTAGCTGGGAATTTGTGTCCACCAACCACTTTTCAATTAAAACTCATAGCCGACTCATAGCCATGTTCATGTGGCTGTGGGTCAAAATCCCGGTTAGCCCCCAGTGAACATCCTAATCCCCACTAAAATCGACATTTGGCTGATGCGATTCAGTCCAAGCGCGCTCTAAACCGTTTTCCGTGGGCATGCCACTAGTAAGCATTATACTCTGTTGGAGCTGCGCTTGAAGGGAACATGCAAGGAAACCCTAGATGCTCTAGGCTGTAGCTTAGCAAGCACAAAGGATCGCGGTGACTTCAGCTGATATTGAACACTGGGACACACCAAGCGTGAACTACATGATGAGGATCTGTGAGGATGGACAGAATCCACTCAAATACGCCCCTTCTCCGAATGGGGCGGTCGGGGAGTCGGGGGTCAAACAGTATTGGACATCTACTTGGTTGACGTTATAAGGGGAGCAACAATTTAAACTTTAGCAGTTAAGTGGTTGGATTTCAACCACTAAACCACAATACGCAAAAATGTGAAAAACAATATTTTTTCCAACAACAACCATGAATATATCTGTGGGTTTGAGTCGATCTATTCGTGTTTTTTTTCTCATAAGACCCGAAATTTAGGATTCGGGAACGTCCAGTGCGCTCGCCAGCCGCAGCCTCCTTGCCATGTCCGAAGCAACCCTTTGATGTGTACCCTTCTTATACCCAGTGCCTCTTTACGTGGGGCATTGCACCAGTTTGAAGGATTGAAAACCCGCGAACCCACCTTTTCTAGAGGTTCCCATTTTTCAAATTGGACAAGCCCATACACACAATCGCATGCAGGGGCTGCAGGTTTTCCCTAGGCTTTGGCATGCAACGCCGGTGGTTGACCTCTGGTCTTTAACAAAATTTGGATATGCCCTCCCCCCCCCCCAAAAAAAAAAACACCAAACAACTATAATCATCATAACAACAATAATACTACTCGTGATGATAATACTATTAAAGGAACGCATCACGTATTTTGGGAGTTCCTGGAAACCCCTAAGGATCCCAAGACCGGCTGGTCTTGGCATAACTCAGTGGACATAAGACATCCCCGCAACAAAACTGGGTTTGTGACACCTGCGATTTTTGAGCTGGTTGTGATTTGCGCCGAATCATCTCCTTCCCCTCTTGCCAACCATCCCAGAATTGAATGCCCTTCGCAGCAGAATCAATGGGATTGGTAGTGGGCCCTTGGGGCAGAAAGGCAAGGTGGGCCAAGCAAAAGTCCTACGCTTGTTTTCCAGGTATTGCAAGCATGCCATTGTGTATACCGTAGCAACTTTAGGATGAAGTTCCCTTCAAAGGAACGCAGCCACGGAGTTGGTTGGCAAGAGTATGCCCAAACTCTTTTCTGAGCACTAGCCGAGCGGCAGGCTCTTGTTGCCCGAAGACGGCTTGCTAAACACGCATCTCGGGCAAGGAAGACGGTTGCCGCAAGTTGCAAGGAAGTTCCAAGGAACACTCCATATCACTCCACGATGCGATGCCGCACAGCCGCGTGCCTCCTCCCGCGCTTTCCGCAGCTCCTCGGGGGTGAACTTCGGGCGCGAAGCTTCGCGCGCGGCGGCCGCAGCCTCCGCGGCGGCTTCCGCCGCATCAGGCAGCTCCGCCTGCGAAGATTGGCGCTGGGGTTCCAGAGTGGTGGGAGGTAAAGCAGGTCAAGCTGGATGGGTGCCTGCGAAATGTTGTGCCAAAGACACCGAAAAGACCGCCTGTACAAAAAAGTTGTCTAACTGAGGTGAAGCGATCTGCGCCCCCAGTTAACATCACTGCAAGAGGAAAGTCACTACAAACTTGGGTTGCCTCTGGGCAAAAGGTGATAGGTTTCAAGGGAATTCAAGAAGCCCACGGAACAGCGGCGATAAGGAATCCTCAAGGGACCTTCGTGCTGGGGCTCGAGCTGGTTTTACCCCAGGTCAAACGTCTTAAATTGGAGTCTCTCGTAAATCCGGACCCCTCTAGGCCGCTGGATTCCTTTTGGTTGCCTTTCAAACCATGTCACGATGTGTGCAAGCTATCACTCACAAAATGGAGAGGAATCCCCAAGAAAGGGGCCTTCCGAAAAAACGCGTGAGCTGGCCCCGAAAAGAAACCCACCAGTGCGCACTCCACGCCCCCCCAAAAGCCCGGCCTGGTCGTCATCTTTGTAGTCGTCCTTCTTCTCCAGTCCTTCAAGCTCCTTGCAGACTTGTGATACCGCCTCATTTGGGCCCTCAGGCATCCCTTGGACTCATCCGGGGGACTCGAGTCAGAGGAACCCGCAAAAATAGATCATGTCCTTGCTAAAGGGGAGCGACCCCTGATTCGTACGGTCCTTCGGATTCCGAAGTTAACATTAACCCCTCAATTTCCCTCATACAACAATAAGATAACCTCTCATTTGACATACATGCTAGCTTCTTGTTCTCATCTCATTTGCCCTGGATGGTAGCGCGAAAACAGCAAGCCATCAACCAATTGTCTGAAACACACGAGAAGCCTCCGTGTATCTTGATCATCTTGCGGTGCTCAGTAGGGAATGAGGGAATGACCCCTATAAACTATCCCTTGTGGTTTTCTTTAAGGGGACCCCTGGGGTCATTCCCTCAATCTCTAGTGAGCACCAGCAAGTCATTGACTTATGAACCAAAAATTTCCTGTTGAGAGTCGGAAGTTCCTTCCCCGCCTAGCGCTTTGCGCGCGCTACCCAACGGCCAACCCCCCACCCGCAACTTCCAGTGGGAAAATTGTGCGCCGCCTGTCCAGTGTTTCGAAAGGGGAACTGGATGCCCGGACCTTCAAGTCTCCGGGTTGCACACACATGCGACTCGGAGGGCCGCAGCGGCACCATGCAGTCCAAACAAATCCGCCAGGATCGCCATGGCACCTTCCGCGGATGTCCTTCCCCATGTCCTCCCATTGCACCCCTTTGCCCGCACCAACCAGCCCCCTCGCACCCTTTTGCTCGCGCCATTCCTCGCTCGCCCCGAAGATCGCCTTCTGCCCCGCCTGCCTCGCTCGAACTCGCTCGGAGTCTCGGAGATCTGGATCAATGCCGCGGATCGCCCCGCGGGAGCTACGCCCGAAATCATGCCGCTCAGGCGGTGTTGTTGGCCACGCAGCGCCACACCTGGGGCCCACAAGCCGAGTGCCGAACTGAGGTGCTGCTTGGCTTCCAGTCTGGTGGTTGCAAGGATTCTGCCCCTCAAGTAGGAGAAATCGACCCCTCGAAAAGTCATGATTGAAGCACGCCCGAAAGATTCACTTCAATCGCTGCGCCGAGTTCCCATCGCCTTCTTCTTGGCGGGCCACAGCACTTCGCCCGCGGCCTCCTGGCAACTGACTGGTGGCTGAAGTGGAACCCAAAGTGGACAGGGTGGCTCCTTTCTGATAAGTGGGGATTTGTCCATGACTGCTTTATCTTCGACGTTCTGGATCTAAAAGGTATTGAAGCATTGACGCAAGCCACTATGATTCCCAAATTGGAAATAAGCGAATTCCCAGCATGAACCTTCATCATGGGTAAGCTCGCTTACCCCCGTCCCCGCCATAGAACGGTGAGTATGAAAAGAGGAGAGCAACTGGGACCGTTGTCAGGACTCGCCACGTTTCCAGAGAGGGAGGGAGGGAGAGGAAGATAGAGAGAGAGAGAGAGAGCGAGAGAGAAAGAAAGCAAGCAAGCAAGAAAGACAGAAAGACAGAAAGAAACAACGAAAGGCAGCAAGACAGAAAGGCAGAAAGACAGAAAAACAACAGAAAGACAGAAAGCAAGACAGAAAGACAGAAAGACAGAAAGATAGATAAATAGAAAGAAAGAGAGAGAGAGAGAGATCAAGAAATAAATAACTAAACAAAGAAAGAAAGAAAGAAAGAAAGAAAGAAAGACAGAAAGAAAGAAACAAAGAAAGAAAGAAAGAAAGAAATAAAGAAAGAAAGGAAGGAATAAAGAAATAAATAAACCAGGAAGAAATAAAGGAAGAAAGGAAGGAATAAAGGAAGGAATAAATAAATAAATAAATAAAGAAATAAAGAAAGAAAGCAATAAACAAGACAGACAACAATGACATCATACATAAGTACATACCAACAAGTCATACATAAATAAATGTGGCTAAACACTTAAAACAATAAATACCTACATCAATAACATAAATCAAATTACAACACTGAAAACATAATCAAGCGAACACACAAGAAACTTAATAACAACATAAGCAAAGGAAAACAACACAGAGGTAGACACGACGTGAATAAATACCACGACAAATTCCGAGACAAACAAATACATACATACACACGTAAGCAGGGATTTGTACATAAACCAATCAGCCAAATCACATAAAGCTATATACATAGCACAAACAATATGAATGAAGGACTGAGGGAATCAGGTTTTCAAAAAGGAAGGAACACCTATCCAAACAACAAAGCCAAAAAACACAACTTACCATATATAATCAACTAAATAAACATAGAGTGCTGAATAAATCAAGAGAGAGGGAGCGAAAGGCGACAAAACGGACGGACGTATGGACGGATGGCAGAAAGGAGGGAAGGAAGGGAAGGGGAAGGGGAAGGGGAAGGGGAAGGGGAAGGGGAAGGGGAAGGGGAAGGGGAAGGGGAAGGGGAGCCCGCTCCAAACAAGAGTCTCACAAAAAAATCATGTGACCACCCTTTGCAGAGTGTCGCTCGACTGGGTTCCCGTTTATTTCCCCTTTAAACATCAACCTACCAAAGAAAGCTCACTTTAAACTGGCTCCAAAAGGGCGATGAGACCGAGGACGGAGGATATAGGTGGGACCGAAGTCTTCCCTCCGAAAAAGAGAAGGACTGCGCCGAAGGATGGGAGGCTTTCATTAAATTACGGCCACCGAAGGACCCAGCCCCCTCCTGACGTGGGTTGAACAAAGGGAGCCAGGCTTCCGAGATTCTTACAAGGTGAGGAAGCCAATGCCGACAAACGGGAACGGGTGCCCCTTTGATGGACCAATCCGGCGTGTGTTTCCAGCTCCGGCACCGTGAAGTGGGCAAGCAACTGGGTAGCTGGGTGCTCAATCTCCCTGGCAGATACCCTCCCACCCAACTAACATAGAAGTGCAAAAAGACATAAAAAGGCCCTTTCCAAGAGGAAAGAAGTCTTTCTACAGGGGTCTGTGCACTTCCATGTTAGCTGGTGGGAGGGTAAGCAAATCCCTCCCCTTTTGGCCCTCCTTTCTCAGCACAGGGGGTTTGTCCCACCGCACCTGGCCCTGCTCCTTGCACTTTAAGTTGGCGCCGTGGCAGAAGCACGCCGCCTACACGCGGATCCGTCGGGTTCCGGCCGGGCGCTCGAAAAATGAGGCATGTCTTTTTCCATGACTAAATGGGAAGCCAAAAGGAAAAACCGCCATGTTGGGGGGTCTCCCTGTTTTGACACATACCCACTCTTGCTCTGCAATATTTACATGCCAAAGAAAAAAGAAAGGACCTACATGGTGAAGCTCGAAGGGCAGACTTGATGGATGCTTCGGGTGTGGTCCACTGAACGACTGACGCTCCACGCCAAAGAGACACATACCCAACGCTCAAGCCCGGCCTTCAGCTGAAAGTGACATGTCGTCCGAGAACCGCCCAGTATCCACCGCGCGGGAACCCTCTTGGAAACCTAAAACCTCTCCAAAAGAACTGGAGCATGGGGGTGGTTCCTGGCTTGGTGGCTTGGTTGATTGGCAGGTTGGGCATGGATTATCGCAAGGCCTTAGGCAAAACTTGTTTGAACAACAAGGCCACAAGCGGATGGATCCAAATAGGCTCAGGCAAAGATCACCGCTGAGTCAAATAGCGGAGGTCTCTGCACACCATCCCGCAGTTGTGGGCAGCCGTCCATCGGCCAAAGTCGGACTCAAAGTTTGGACCCAAATCCACTCAAGAAGACAAAACGGCTGGCCGAACCCCCCCAAAAAAATGCAAGCCCCCAGGCCCGCTCGACGCGGTGAAAGGCGCGTTTCGCCTGATGGGCATAGGGCATCTTGAGGTCGTAGGCCATGAGTCTGGGCCTCTGTGGCTGTCAAGGAAAATCCGCGTTGAGCTCCAAATGGTCGAAGCCCTATGAATAGTTGAGGAAAAACACACACACACACTCACACACTCACACACTCACACACACACACACACACATACATACATACATACATACATACATACATACATACATACATACATACATACATACATACATACATACATACATACATACATACATACATACATACATACATACATACATACATACATACATACATACATACATACATACATACATACATACATACATACATACATACATACATACATACATACATACATACATACATACATACATACATACATACATACATACATACATACATACATACATACATACATACATACATACATACATACATACATACATACATACATACATACATACATACATACATACATACATACATACATACATACATACATACATACATACATACATACATACATACATACATACATACATACATACATACATACATACATACATACATACATACATACATACATACATACATACATACATACATACATACATACATACATACATACATACATACATACATACATACATACATACATACATACATACATACATACATACATACATACATACATACATACATACATACATACATACATACATACATACATACATACATACATACATACATACATACATACATACATACATACATACATACATACATACATACATACATACATACATACATACATACATACATACATACATACATACATACATACATACATACATACATACATACATACATACATACATACATACATACATACATACATACATACATACATACATACATACATACATACATACATATACATACATACATACATACATACATACATACATACATACATACATACATACATACATACATACATACATACATACATACATACATACATACATACATACATACATACATACATACATACATACATACATACATACATACATACATACATACATACATACATACATACATACATACATACATACATACATACATACATACATACATACATACATACATACATACATACATACATACATACATACATACATACATACATACATACATACATACATACATACATACATACATACATACATACATACATACATACATACATACATACATACATACATACATACATACATACATACATACATACATACATACATACATACATACATACATACATACATACATACATACATACATACATACATACATACATACATACATACATACATACATACATACATACATACATACATACATATATGTGTACACACATACATATATATATATATACACAAATGGCCGTGGGTCAACACCAATGGGATCCCATTTTGGTTGGTAGGTGAATTCACCACCCAAATTTTGGAGCCTATTTTAGTTGGGATTGGGATGTTCACTGGGGGTACGGGGTGTTGACCCATAGCCAAATTGTTGCAGGATGCTGCCCATCCACAGTAAAGTTGGTTGCTCTCCTGCAAACTAGCATGGGATCTATCTCTTGCGCCGCCAAGTCGGGGCGGGCACCTACAAGAAGAAACCAAGATTTAAGTCGTCCGAAAAGGATGGAGCTCCCGAAAATTTGCGTGTCGCTTTCTCTTCTGTTGCATTACGGAATAGGACTGCCGGCATTTAGCCGATCGGTTTCTGTTGGCAGCTGACAGCCCCACATCAAACTCGGTAAACGAAACACAGAACCCCAAACCTAAAGCATTGGAGTTGTATCGTGTTCCAAAAACATGATTTCGGTCAGAAGTACTTCAAAAACAGCTCCGTGTACGTATTGGATGCAAAAAGGGGCGATGTCCCATCTTCTCGGGATGACTAACTCTGGGCCCAGGTACTTTTTTGCAAATCTGGGCCCCCAAAGCTCCTGGCAGTCACATTTCTCTGCGACACAGACAAACGTCCACCTCCCTTTCCGATTCCATGTTTTGAGTGGGTACCCCTGACCCCCTTGATGATCTAAATCGTGAATCAGGTCTGGTTTTGCGGGACCTTTAGGTGATCCATCTGAAGGGATTCAGCCCTCTATTTCACAGCAACCAATGGAACAAACACATCACTCGTGCCCCCGAGCGCACAACTCCAACTGGCCCTAAGGCTCCGACGTAGATGACCAGTCCTGCTCGCCAGCCCAAAGTGAGTCCGGCATGGGCTCTGTCACATGGGACTCTGGAGCACTGGGTATGCAAAATAGGGAGCCCTAAAACGGTGCTTTCACCTCTAGGATCCGCTTCAAACCAACCCCAACAAAGGGTTCCCTCAGAAAACAAAAGGAAAAACACACAAACACACACCAACAGGTGTTATGCTGAGGGTACCCTTTTTGACTTATTTTAAAGGGAAGCCAAAAAGAAACCAACCCTTTTTGTTGGTCCAGAAAAGAAAAGGGTCCCCAACTAGATTTGCCTTCGAGGTGCCTCCGGGCACGGATACGATGGCTTTTGGAAGCCCCAAAAAGATGGCATCCCTTCTTGGTTGACGCTGGGTTTGGGGAGCAAACATTCTCAAACTTTAGCGGTAAGTCTGGATTTTCCACCAAACCACAATAAGCAAAATGGGAAAGATGTTTCCCAACAACAACCATGCCTTGCCTTTGACTCGTTCAAAGCAGACCAAACCAAGCCAGTTCCCTGTGTTTATTTCCCTTTGGCTGCCGGCTATACAACCCCAGGAAGATCACCCCCAACAAAACAAACAACTACTACCTGGCTCCTCGCAAAAGAAAAAGCATAAAAGGCAAAGGGAAACAGACAGCACCTGCACAAGCCAGACAGCACACCCACCCAAAACTGTACGGGCATGTGTGTGTGTGTGTCGTTTGCGAGGCTACCCTGTTTGGATGGTTTCCGATTGGGAAACAACCAGGACCAGGAAAAAAAAAACCTGTTTGCAGCTCCCCTTTGTTGACAGGGGTGAACTTTTTAGGGACACCCTTTGTGTTTATAAGGGAAAACCATATCGCCCACCCGCGAACGGACGCGGGAGGGGCCCTCCGAACCCTCGTGGTGCAAGGGGTCCTCGTGAGGGAAGAGCGCAATGGCAGTGCCCAAGCCCCGCACCGCATGGTCCTGGGCTCGGCGCAGGCCCTTGACTCGACAGAAAAACATGTTGCCATGGGTATAACTCACTTCCGAACGAGTGGATGGCCCAGAAAAAAAGCAACCAAACGTCTTATGTACCAAAACGGCCCAAGCCCAAAAAGTTCAAAGTCCAACCAATGAATGATTGTCAAATAACTCATGGAGCTACAAAGTGTGAGGTGGGATTTGGGCAGCCAAAGCTCAGAAAGGCCTCCCTTGGACCCAAGTCTTGCGAATTTCCCTTGGCATTTGGTGGACATCATGAGGGTTTCTGTCCACCGATGGGTTTCTGTCCGCCGCTGAGGTTCCGACTCTTAAAATGTATAGCCGATTCCAATCTGGAAATAAGAGTTGGATTCCAAAGCTTGGTTGACGTTGAAAGGCGAGCAAACAAAATAAGTTTTAGCAGTTAAGTGGGGATTTCAACCACTAAACCACAATAAGCAAAAATGTAAAACATGTTTCCCAACAACAGCCATCAAAGGACCTTCATAGCTCTCAAAACTTCGGATCGGTTTTTTCTCGCCATGTTTCATGGCATATCTGAAACCAAGTGGAACAAGCAACATCGTCACATGGGACTTCCCGCCTTTGGGGGGGTGCCTATTTTGAGCAAAACCCCTTTGCATGGCCCAACCTCCCTTTTATGTTCCGTTCAAAATGACCCCAAACTAGGTGCCTAGATGTCCTATTTTCAGGGGTTCTGAGCCAAGGGTGTCTGTTGAGCCTCAGGCCCTGTCTCTTACCAAAGGCTTACCCATTTCGACACGCAAAGCTCCCCCCCCCCCGCTCTCTGCCAGGTTTCTCCCCAGCGGTAGAGCCAAAAGCCGCCCAACTCGTCAACGAACCTGACGAGTCGCGCGAAGTTCTGTGACACGGCTCTTCCCCTTCTTTCTCATCCTTTCTTTTCCGGGAAACTGCCCTGCCAACCACCAGAACCTCGGTGCGAAAAAGGCAAGAATGAGAAAACTGGAAGATCCCTTGATTCCATGTTCCATGCCAATATGCCCGCGCTCAAGTACCCTCCGGGTCTTCCATCTAGCAAGTTCGTCATGGAGCGGTGGAAACATCCATCGGGCTTTTCTACATGGCTGTGGCTCAAAATTAAACAGGAGGGGTTACGCGGGTTTTGGTCCATGTTTCCACTTGCCAGGGTTCCATTGTGGTGCCGGTTTTTTGAGCCACACCCATATACTTAAGTGATAAGTACACCCTTTGGCCTCCCCTTTTCACCCCCTTTGAGGTCGTCAAAACGACCCTCCTCAATTGGGATTCCACTGCGTCTTTATGTTCAAACCACAAGGTGGTTCAAAGAACAAGTGCGAACCACCGGAAGCCTGCCATAACATCAGCCTCTTCAACATGTGACGTTTCAGAATGGCAACTCAAGCGCCCATCCTGGGCTGCCCTTACCAAGGTCTCGATAAGATCTGCTTGGAACCTTGGTTTCATGACACAATCAAGCCCGCCCCAAACGGGGAAAGGGAGGACTCGTAGATCCGTTGCAACCACCGGGTTTTGTTACGACACACATGGGTTTGTCTTAAAGTGAGAGCATCCTCAAAAGGGAGCGAAGAGCTTCCTTTCAAGCTCTCCTTCTTCTAAAAAGGCATTGAACAATTCTATGCTTGTTGTAAACCCTTGGAATACTTCTTCTTTGGCAGTCAATGGTGAAGCATAATAATTTCATTGTAAACGGTTACTTGTGAAATCGCTGAGATCTGTTGCGTTCTTTTCGTTTGAAGTATCAGGAATCTCTGAAATTTAGGACTCAGAAACCAACAGGCAACAATAAATATGCTGTACAATAATTGGTTGTCAACTCCTGATCGTCTAATTGCTGATACTCTTGCCGTTAGTTATGTTGTGTTTTGTGTTTATCATTTGTCTTGTTCACTGTCATCTCTTGTTTGTTTATAGTTGCATTGGTTGAAATGTTAAATACACCAGCCACGCCCAAATGCGGAGTAAGTGACCATCATTTGACTTCTAACCAACGTTTGTTTGTTTCATGCATCATTGCTTCAACTAACAAACCTTTCAATTATCTCTCACACAACCAACAAAACTCTATCCCGGAGGAACAAATCACGCCCCTCAACTTTGATGAACAGGGTGTTTTGCGCAAGTTTTCAAGGGAACACGTTACAGGAATCACAAGGCGCAACGAGAAAGGAAGATCCTACGCGCTGAAGCTGCAAGTCCCCTAATAGGTCCACCATCCAGCTCGACCAAACTGGACTTTTTTGCTCATGTCGACCCAAATTGGTCGACCCAAAGCCAAGCTGCACTGAAAACTCAGACTACAATCCCAAGACCCAAAGGAACAACAAGGACCCAACCCCCACTCAACCTCCAAACGGACCCCGGTTCCGCAAAGGTCCCAGCCATGCGACAGCCCTGTTTTTCACGCGTGAGACGCGACGCGTGAGATGCCTGTAGAAGCGGAAGTAGTCGGAGCCGGGCTTAAAGAAGGCCACGCGGAGAAGCTCCAGGTCCGTCATGACCTTGGGAAAATGCTCCCGGACTCATCTTGGGGTGTTAGTTTGGGGGAGGGTTTGGGGGGTGGCTCATGTCAATATCCTTTTGGGGGGGGTCTAACAACACATAAAAAAGACCTAAGGCCCGCGCCGCCTCATCTTGGGGGGGGGGTTGTTAGTTTAGGGGGGTGGCTCATGTCAATATATTTTTGTTGTGTAGGTGTGTGTTGTTAGGCCCCCCCCCTCAGCCCCCCAAAACACCAAAAAACAACACAAACACAACAGCAACAAGGGAGTACCCTCAACCAACAGACCAACCCATTTTGACCATTTCTGGAAATTGGGATTTGACTGCTGCTTTCCGTGGAAAAGCTGGTGCTGGACAAAACTGGGTCCATGTCCGCATGGCCCTCCCCGTGGGATGAACAGGCCAAGTCAAAGACCCGTTGTTTCCCTTCAACCAACTCGGGTGACTTTGAACACACGATGGAGCCAGCAAAAACTTGACCCGAACCGTTGCGCCTTGGACTGGCCACGTTTCAAGTGGGGCAAGGTGAAAGGCCAACAAAAGCTATTGATTGCCGGTTCGCAATGTGTCGACCAATTGTCCGTTTCCAACCGTTGAACGTCCAAAAATACAGCAATCAGCACGAGGCTCTTCTTCGCTTTGCCAAAAAATAAAGCTTGCTTTTTGCGTTTCGCCAATCTGGGGTCCGTCAAGCCTCATCAGCGAGCGGCTTGTTGCTTGAGTGTTTTCCAACAGGCAAGCCAAACACATTTGGCTGTGTATTTTTGATCAGGAACCGCTTCAAAAGTGGTGGACGATCCATCGACGATGCTTCAGGGTCCGCATTGGGACATGAATCCCCACCTAAATGACGTGTTTCCTAGTTCACATTCTCACTTCCTGAGTGGATGGGCCAAAAACAGTCTGAACTCTTTGTTTATGACAAAACAAGTCTTCCCAAAAGTTTGAAGTCCATGAACTCAGTTGGGAGCATTTCGCATTTCCGCCCAAGGAGAAATCGCTTCTCTGTCCTTCGGGAAGCCTTTCGGGCAAGCCTTGTGGGCTTCAAAGGAAACGAAGGCCTGAAGTCTGCTTTGAGGTCTAGGGCTCTGGGAAGTTGATCTTTACGGCCCATCGCTGGATTCCACAGGCCGTCGATTGCTTGGACCCAGGCCACAAGGTTGTGATAGAGCATCTCCTGCATGTCTCACTGAACTCCCCAGAAGTCTTATCCAGTTCCAGGTGAATAAGGAATTGGAATTCCCTATCTTCACTTGACTACCCGGGACTCTTGAACAAAATGGGCAGTGATACTTGCTTGACTCACACGTTTATCCCACCCCCGCGCCCAGCTTCAGAAGCATTGAAGTTGGCTTCGGCTCAAAACAACCCATGGGTAATAGCGAGATCACCCAACCTCGCTGTGACATGCGACCTGTAGAAAAACCTGTTGCGCTGCTTAAAGTACGCAGCATGGTGGGCTGGACACCACTCCCTCCTCCAAAAGTGCTTCGCGGAGCCGCGTCTTGGCATGCAAAGTGAGCTGCTGTCTGTTGCGTCACCCAGAATTCCACTTTGGGGGGGGGTCCAACTTCATAAATACGGGGTATTTAATAGGAGTTGCCGCCCGGAGCCCTAGTTGATGGGGGCTCAGAAGTTGCCTTTATCGTTGAGGCGCAGCAGTGCCAGGAGCTAAGTTGCTCCACATCGACCTTTGCAATCAATTCGACCTAAGGACCTGAAAAAAAAAAAAAAAAACAACTCAGACACACTCAAGGATTCGAGATCGTATCAATTCACCCAGACAATGGGTCCAGCCTACAATCCACCGAGACAGAATCAACAAGTGCCTCACGGAACTCTCATACCCCAAGCCCTGACGGAGGGATCCGATCCCATGGATCGGTCCTCTTGGGGCTCTGGGGACGTCCAAGTGGCTGCGAGAAATGGGGGGAATTTGTGATGCCAAAGTGGTTCTCACTTGCCCCTTAGGGACCTGGAAATAAAAGGTGATCACCTTTTGGGACCTTTGCTAACAATGGACCAACATGGGAAAACCAAAAGGTCAAAAGGTCGATTCGCTTTGGGCAAGTGAGGATTGATTCAAATCCATCTCCCTGACTGTATAACTTTATTCTGGAAAAGTGACAGCTGTATCAAGTTCTGGAATGTCCCTTTGGCAACCCAGGTTTCAAAGTTCCACAAAATTGCGGACTCCCTTGTTGGAGCCCCACATTTGCATGAGCCACCTTTAGCACTCTGGCTGGTAAAGAAGCTGCTAACTTCTCCACCCTCCATTCAAGGGCATGATCATGTGGGTTGCTTGAAGGTGTGCAGGTTAATATACCACTTCTGCAAGAAAATGATGGCAGTACCTCTGTGAAGTGGTGTACAACCTCCACACTCCAAACGACCCTCTCGGGCACTGGGGAAGCCTGTGTCTTTCCAATTGTCTGCACCAAACGTCAACCCGGAACCACAAACTGGAACATCCCCAAAGATGTTAAAACAAGGGAAGCCCACGACAAACTAGACAACACGGGAATCAAACAAACAAACAAACAAACAAACAAACAAAGCAAGCAAGCAAGCAAGCAAGCAAGCAAGCAAGCAAGCAAGCAAGCAAGCAAGCAAGCAAGCAAGCAAGCAAGCAAGCAAGCAAGCAAGCAAGCAAGAAAACAACCGAGAAGGGCTCGAAAGAGGCACAGAATGGCAAATAGGTGCGTCTTCGTTGAGGGTACCCTTTTTGAGATGGCTCTAAAAGGAAACCAAACGGAAAGCCACACTTGTTTGGTCCTCTTGTGCTCAATCAAACCCACGCTTTCCGGCGCTCGGCCTGGTCCACCGAATGTGCATCCTCATGCTTGGTGTGGGGCGTCAGGAACCTAGGGCGAGGGATCGATTTGCCAGCCCAAAACTTGGTGGTTCAAACTGCGGGATGCTGAGCTACCTTCCGCCAAGCGGGCTGCTGGGCAGTTTAGGTGGGTTTTGAGTGCGCCATGGAGTTGTCATTGTAAGCAAAGGCAAAAGCGGCTGCGAAGGAAGGAACACAACTGCCGCAACCTCGCCACGCCACCGAGAAGAGCAAGCACGGCAAGCCGCTAAAGCGGAGCTCTCTACATGGCCATGGGTCAACATTGAACCATGCACCGCAGGTTGCAGTTCTTGTTTCCATACCCCACTTTGGGGTTACCCTAGTTTTTCCTGTGTCCCCTGATTCAGCCTCATAGCTCTCCTTACAGGGTCCCAACAGGTCAGGTACAGGGGAAGGGACTCACATGCCCTTCAGGGAGAATATGGGGACCCCCGCAAAACTGTGCAACCTGCCGGGAAATTTCCGGGCAGGGCAACAAGAGCTATGGCATCTCCCAAGAGTGTAGGTGAGCCAGCGTATCTTGCATGTGTAAAGCCAGAGAACCACAGGAGATCTATCAGTTTTGGCGAAACCCATCTGAAACTAAGCGAAAAAGCACACACACACAGACACGTCTTAAAGTCTTAGTGAGCAAATGAAAGAGAACAAAGACATCATGTCTGGCGTCGTCCCTCGCAGTGCGGGGGGGGCTTAGAAAGCAGTGACATGAGCCCAAGCCTCATATTTCTGCTTCGGTGAATCTGCCTGCATCAACAAGTCAACACCCAAGTGGTAGACTTGAAAGAACGGCCCAGGCTGTGAGTCTACAATTTCAGAAAAGGCCCAGACAGGCGTCAGAAGCGGCAACTCAACTTTACCCGATCTACGAAGTCGCAAACTCTCTGCACTTCGCACCTGCTGAAGAAGTGGTTCTTGTCATAGTGTGCCGACGTGAGGTTGATTCCTGGCGACAGTTTTGTCACGGCTCCCAATATATTTCCCCCGAAACATGACCTCACCAAGAGGAAGCTCACCTCAGATTGAGCAAAATGAGATGGTTCATCTTGCATAAAAGGGAACTACCGGGATTGCTGCATGTAATGTTAACCCCGGATTAATCCGCCGACCCCTTCTCCTCAAAGGGGGAGGCGCACGGGAAGGGTGGTTGCAGTACAAGCGCATGGATTAATCTTTGAGGCAAGCATATGACTACTGGCATCATACGGATGCCCATCATCATCATCATCATCATCGATATGATCCTTCATCATTCTTATCGTCAACATCATCATCATCATTTCTATATCCTTCAACATCATCATCCTCGTCATCATCCTTAATTTTTCATATACGTTTCAATTGTGGCGTTAGAGAGGGCTTGACATGCAAAAGCTGCGTGGACATGATGATCATGATGACTGCCCCCCCCGGCCCCTGAAGATTGGGGCTTAACGCCCCGCTCTGGCCCATTGTAGCTGCCACACAGGGGACTCATTTAGGCTTGGGCGCAGGGGGCGCTATCTCAAAAAATGAGCCCCTTACTTTTCGGCACAAGGAGTGCTAGGGATACTGGGCCCGTGGGGTAAGTCTCGGGCCGCCCTGGTGATGCCGAGGATGCTACGTTAGACACCATTGGCAATGCAGAGGAAGCTACAACGATAGTTATGATCACAGTCCTCATCCTTATCATCACTAGCATCAGGTCATCATCATCTCTTATTAGCCGGCGCTGGTGATGCCAAGGATGCTAGGATGATAGTTATCATCACAGTCCTCAGTATCATCACGGTCATCACCATCTCTTATTAGGCAGCACTGGTGATGCAAAGGGTGTTACGATGATAGTTCTCATCATAATCATCATCATGATCATCCTTATTATGATGTCATCGCCCTTCTCATCATCATCATCATGATGATCATCATCATCTCATTCTTGTTCTTATTCTTAGATGCATTTCAAAAGTAACGTTAGACCCCATTGGCAATGCAGAGGATGCTACGACGATACTTATCATCACAGTCCTCACCCTTATCATCACTATCATCATGGATATTATCATCTCTTTTTGCCGGCACTGGTGATGCCGAGGATGTCATCATCATCTCTTATTAGGCAGCACTGGTGATGCAAAGGGTGTTACGATGATAGTTATCATCATAATCATCATCATGATCATCCTTATTATGATGTCATCGCTCTTCTCATCATCATCATTATGATCATCATCATCTCATTCTTGTTCTTCTTCTTATAGACCCCATTGGCAATGCAGAGGATGCTACGACGATATCTATCATCACAGTCCTCATCTTAGCCGGCACTGGTGATGCCGAGGATGTCATCATCATCTCTTATACAAAGGGCGTTACGATGATAGTTATCATGATAATCATCATCATGATCATGCTTATTATGATGTCATCGCTCTTCTCATCATCATCATGAGGATCATCATCATTATTCTTATATGCATTTCAAAAGTAACGTTAGACCCCATTGGCAATGCAGAGGATGCTACGACGATACTTATCATCACAGTCCTCATCCTTATCATCACTATCATCATGGTTATTATCATCTCTTATTAGCCGGCACTGGTGATGCCGAGGATGTCATCATCATCTGTGTTACGATGATAGTTATCATCATAATCATCATAATCATCATCATGATCATCCTTATTATGATGTCATCGCTCTTCTCATCATCATCATGATGATCATCATCATCTCATTCTTGTTCTTATTCTTATTCTCATATGCATTTCAAAAGTAACGTTGGACCCCATTGGTAATGCAGAGGATGCTACGATGATAGTTATCATCACAGTCCTCATCCTTATCATCACTATCATCATGGTCATCATCATCTCTTGTTAGTCGGCACTGATGATGCCGAGGATGCTACGATGATATATATCATCACAGCCCTCATCTTTGTCATCTTAATCATCATGGTCATCATCGTCTCTTAGTAGCCGGCACTGGTGATGCCGAGGATGCTACGATGATAGTTATCATCACAGTCCTCATCCTTATCATCATTATCATCACGGTCATTATCATCTCTTATTAGGCAGTACTGGTGATGCAAAGGGTGTTACGATGATAGTTATCATCATAATCATCATCATGATCATCCTTATTATGATGTCATCGCTCTTCTCATCATCATCATGATGCTCATCATCATCTCATTCTTGTTCAAGGGCTGCCGCCCAGTGCCGCCAAAAACACTGCCCTTGGTTTTGGTTTCTTTGGTTTCTTGCGAATGATGCGTAGTGATGATTATCATCAAGGCAGGACTCCAAATCTCAATGACCCAAATGGCATCTGAGGCGAGGTGCCGTTTCGACAGTGATGCGTAGTCATGATTATGATCATCGCTGCTGGAGATGCTGGGGATGCGTAGTGATGATTATCCTCATGATTGCCACAGATGCTGCGAATGATGCGTAGTGATGATTATCATCAAGGCAGGACTCCAAATCTCAATGACACAAATGGCATCTGAGGCGAGGTGCCGTTTCGATAGTGATGCATAGTCATGATCATCGCTAGGCACCCTTGGTAATGCAGAGGATGCTACGATGATAGTGATCATGATAGCGATCATTTGTTGCCCAGCAAGTCACAGTCCCTGTTCGTGTCTTCAAAAATGCAAACAAAACCCTGAAATACAAGATTAGCCTTTTGGGGCCACTAACATTTCACCCAAAAGAAACCAAAGAAACCAAAACCAAGGGCACTGGCTCAAAACCACAACTAAATCCAGGGCGGCACTGGGCGGCAGCCCTTAAATCCGGCCACCGGGGGCTTCAGACCCCGTGGTCCGTGATACGGCCGAAGGCCTAGGCCCGGAGGGCCTACCTTCAGGTACAGGGCCGGCCGCCCTGTGCCGCCGACCACCGCCGACCATGCGCCGACCATGCGCTATACTTTTGCGCTGTGACCTCGCTGCCAGGGGGGAAAGGATGTTCGGGCGTGTTTTGGGCGAAAAGGGGTCGTTTTTGGACCGACTCCCCGCGGAGTCAAAAACGAGCGTTTTTTGGGGGGTGCCCATGGTGGACAACATCCCCGGCATTGCCTGCATCATCCGCATCCATGGCGGGCACTGATGCAGATGATGCCGGTGATGCGGGGGATGTTGTCCCCTAGGTTGGGCCAATCTTGCCGAAAACGTGAAAAACACAGTGTTTTTCAAGGTTTTTGGCGGGTGCGAACGTGGAACATATCGAAACCTGCTTGGCAGGCAGGCCTCGACGATCCCGGCCGAACTCGATTTTGGGCAGGAATTTAGGTGAGCAATAAAAAACACTGTGTTTTGCCAACATGCAGCGAATCAGCCAGCACCTTAATCCTTTTACATGTTGTGGACCTTTTTCCCCTGTGCCGCCGACCACCGCCGACCATGCGCCGACCATGCGCTATACTTTTGCGCTGTGACCTCGCTGCCAGGGGGGAAAGGATGTTCGGGCGTGTTCTGGGCGAAAAGGGGTCGCTTTTGGACCGACTCCCCGCGGAGTCAAAAACGAGCGTTTTTTGGGGGGTGCCCATGGTGGACAACATCCCCGGCATTGCCTGCATCATCCGCATCCATGGCGGGCACTGATGCAGATGATGCCGGTGATGCGGGGGATGTTGTCCCCTAGGTTGGGCCAATCTTGCCGAAAACGTGAAAAACACAGTGTTTTTCAAGGTTTTTGGCGGGTGCGAACGTGGAACATATCGAAACCTGCTTGGCAGGCAGGCCTCGACGATCCCGGCCGAGCTCGATTTTGGGCAGGAATTTCGGTGAGCAATAAAAAACACTGTGTTTTGTCAACATGCAGCGAATCAGCCAGCACCTTAATCCTTTTACATGTTGTGGCTCATGCTGCTGCGCACAACCTTTTTCACTCGCGAAGGTCATCGTGTAGCGGGCAAGATTGGCTGTGCCAGGCTTTGGCTGTGGCAGGCTGGCAACAGCAAGCATTGCCTGCATTTACTTGAAATTACTCTTTCCTCGTGGCGATCAAGATTGGCACTGCTGGCCCTCTAGCGGAGCCACGTTCCTGCATCCCAGCGCTGGCCGGCTGAGCGACGCTCTGCCTGAACGCCAGCGGCAGGCTGGCAATAGCAACACTTGCCTGCATTTTCACTCTTTCATCGCGGTGGTCAAGATTCGCACTGCACTGCTGGCCCTCTGGCGGAGCCACGTTCGTGCAGCGCCGGCCGGCTGAGCGACGCTCGGCTCGTTGCGTCACGCAGTATGAGCTTGCTCCTGCGAGCCGCCGCGCTTGCAGCGCTTGCGCTCCCGTGTCTCCCCTTGCTTCTTTGTGCATCTTTGGCATGACCAGCTGGGCATTCTTTTGGCGTGGTATTTAGGCTTTGTCTGCGGGCGGGGCTGTCCACACCCGCCCTGGCCTTCAGGTACAGGGCCAGCGCCCCACGTGCATTTTCCCGGTGGCCGGCTGTGTCGCGAAGCGCTTAAATAAACCCCTGGTTGATTAATAGGGGGGTGTCCAATTCCTTTTAGTGGGGATTCAGACCACTTTTGGGGGGAACACCCCCCGTCATGGGACGGGTTCTACTTAGATCCTGGGTAAACATGAAATGCGAGGACTGGGATTCATGCGACTGGATTTCCCCTAGGCTATCACCGAGGCAAACCAGCCAAACAGTTGATACTTGAAACCACCTTTCCTTAACGGCCCCTCAAAAGTGGCCCCAACCCCCCCAAAACAACAAGGCCAAGACGTCATCTTTGGAACTTGGGCCAGTGAGTAAGTGGACACTGACCATTGCAACGAACACATTCGCCGCGTCCTTCGTAGGCGAGGTAGTGAAGGGTAGCAGCCCAAAGCCTCCGTTCCACAGAGGAAAACCAGAAGGACGCGGCCCCGAAGCAGTTCCGGGCCATTCACAAGCTTGGAAACTCCTCCATACTGTATATATATACACACAAACAAGTGGAATTATACTATGCATCAAAAGTGCGTTCACGCCTGTTTTATACCCTTCTTAAGGCCCTCGAACCACAACAAACCCGAGTGCACTGCGCACGCACACGCCCAGACGAATGCAATTGTGTCTATACACATTAATATCCTACATGTGGCCATGACGGCTCAACACATCTCGCAGCTTGGAACCGCTGGCTGCTTCAACACAACCTGCGCAACCGAAGATGGGAGCGCTGAGGCTAGGAGAAAGGCAACACGCCGACAACAGCTCTCTCGCAGCGGCAATCGGGCCAGTCGAAATGGGAAAAAACATATTTCGGCATGCGGGCAGCAGGGGGGTTGTGGGATATAGAACCACTATACCACCACGGCCAGGGAAGAATTTCCTCGTTCTCAGGGGGTAATGGTTTCGGGCAGCGGTTTGGGGGCAGTGGAAGCACCTAGGTCGGAGTCCCCTGCCTCACGAATGTCACAGGGGCTCAGGCGATGATGCGTGTTTTTGTTGGTTCGTTGTTGTTTTTGGTGTTTTTCGTGGTTTGTGTTTTTTTTTTGGGGGGGGCATTGACCGCCCACAGTGAACGACTTTCCAGAATTTTGCTTTGGATTTCTATGACACTCATGTTGATGAATCGCGTGGCTGCTCCCTTGCAAGAAGCGGGCTCACACAGGTGATTTCCACCGTAATTTGCAGAAACACGTGGTCGAATTCGTGGTTGTTCTCTTTGAATCACAAGATTGCCACAATCAGGAGCAGGCGTGTGTTCAAACAAATGGTCTTCGTACTATGCGAGGCGCACTCCCCAACAACCTTGTGACGCTCAAGTGAGTACACTTTGAAACTGAACAAAAGAAAAGCCGAACTTGCAGCGGCTTCTGGGGCCTGGAAGTTGTGGGGGCAGTGAAACGATGTTGGAATGAAAAGAAGCACATTACAACCAGCATGACACCCTCACACCCTTGGGCGTAGTGGTTTGGGGGTAGTGGAAACCATGTTGGAAGTAAAAGAAGCAAACTAAAACCAGCATAAAACCCCTTGGGTTAGTATGGACGTAGTGGAAACCATGTTAAAACTCCAAAGAGCACACTAAAGCGCCAAATCTATGTTCAACCAAACTGACCTAACAACAGACAGGGGTTTAAAGAAGAACCACAAGGAACACCTGCCCAATTTCTGGGCCCCCTTCAAAAAAGACGCCCAAAGCAATTTTGAAAACCCCAAAACGTGGACCTCAATCCGGCTCGCGCAAGCCAGCCCCGCCCTCGGGAGTATGCGCCAGAGCTGATGGTGAGGTGGGCGTAGCCTGCCCCGGTGAATGGGTTCCGGCTTCCTTTTGGATCCATGGGTGTGGGTCAAAAATAGGGGAACCCCAAAATGGAACCCTGGTAAATGGAAACAAAGACTAAAACCTGCGGTCCCCTGGTGGCTTAATTTTGACCCACACCCACATGATCTCACTTCCCAAGTGGATTGGCCCAAGAAAGTCCAAACTTCTTGTTTGCCACTAAAATGGGAACTGGGCTGCCGTCAGATCCCCGGCTACAAGCTTGACTTTTAGTGGGCTAAATAGACATCCCCACTAAACACTCAAAAGCTAAGAGGCTAAGGAACCGGATGGCTGGCTTCGCCACCAAGCACGGTCTTCCCAAAAAGAATTCAAGTCCAGGAACTCAGGCGATCGATCGGAACCAGTTTGCCTGTCAAGCGGATCTGAGCGCATGGACATGCACGGGACGATTTGGGAATCCAGTAGATGTTGTGGACAATTTACAAGGCCAACTATTCGCATGGACTATAGGACATGCTAGGTGAACCTCACTTGACTGGCTTTCGACCCAGTTGCAACCAGTCCGTTCGGCAGAAAGCATGGCATCATTTCTGTGTGTTCTCTATTCCATCCGTGGCTTCGGAACGCGATTTCAAGGTACCACCGAACTTTGTTCTTTTGCACTATGCAATTTCTCGTGGACACAGCATGGCCAGACGAAAGCACGTGTATATTGCCACTGACAACATCCACTGTCCAAAGCAAAAGGCCACAAAAAACACAACCAAAGCGCAGCCTATATTCCGGAACCCACCGTTTTTTGTTTTTTTTCTCCCCGGATTTCTTGTGAAAAAAACACACACACACACACAAAAAAAAAAACAAAACGACATGCAGGGAGGAGTCGAGAATGTAAATGGAAGGCGGGCAGCGACCTGACGTACTGGTACCCAGTTTCAGCTCTTGTGTTCGATGGGGGTGATTCTGAAATAGCTGTGGCTCAAAAAACCGGTACCAAACTGGAACCCTGGTAAGTGGACTGGAACAAAACCTGCGAAACCCGGACTCTTTCATTTTGAGCCACACCCAAATTGCAATCGGTTTCCGTTTAAACGCTTGGTTTCGTTTCGGTTCCCTTTGAACCGGTCCCCTAAAACGGTTGGTTTCCTTTCGGATTCGCTGCAAATACCGACAGAAAGGGAGGGGGGTGCACCAATTGAAAAACTCGCGCGGGATGTCTTGCTAGCTGCTAGCTACTAGCTTTTAATGACATGGAATCACCCCGAACAGAACCATTTGTGGCTTCCTTTGGGAACGATCCCCGGTTCATGGCCCAAATGGGTGCGTCTTTGAGGGTACTCCTTTGGAGCTGTCTTAAATCAGACTGACGGACAACGCGTCATTGGGCCCCCCTGTTTAAGACAAATCCCAGCAAGTTGCATCATGGATTCCGGAAATCCCCCGCCCCAATTCACTGGAAACCCATACCCTCCTTTTTGGCAGGCCTATATAATAAGGTAATCGTCTAGAGGCACTGGTATACACGACTACTGATCAACATCCCACCCTAAACCAGGATTCGAATCTGTTCTGCCATCATCATTTGGCAACTGGGAAAAGATGCGAGATGGACAATGCAAACAGTTGTAAAAGGAAAGATGTATGAGTGGAGATGTCACCAAATGTTAACCCGGAGATGTCATCAAGTGCAGATGGTGGCAATTCCCACGACTCAGTCCCTGCCTAAGACCAAGGAGCTGTTGCGGTGCATGTCCTCGATGGGATCCCGCTCCAGCTCCCTCGTCAGCATGCCTCGAGAAAAAGATCATGGGCGTCTGGGAATGGAACCCTACAGGATCTCTGGAGCCCAGGCCGTCCTCAGATCCGCGAAAGGTTTAAAACTTTTCGTGGCCTACATGGCAAAACCCCCCACTAAACACCAAAAAGCTCAAAAGCTAAGGAACCGGAGGGCTGGGAGCCACCAAGAAATCAGGTTGGCTTCTCTTGGCTTCCAGCTCAAGGCCACGAATTGACGAATATACTCGCGTCGAGGCTTCCCCAAACATGCCCTTCCCAGCTGCAATTCCGCGCACGTGCCCCGGCTCGCAGATGTTCTCAGCAGCCCCAATCGAATTTCTGAAAACCCCGAACGAAGTAGTGGATCAAACTGACCTCCAAACATCCCACATCCTGACTTCGACCAGCTCATTTCGCCCCTCTCGCCCGAGTCAGCGGCTATCTGTGTCCAAGGACATGAGGTAATCCAAGTTCACCTCAGCCAAAGCTCACGGCCATGGCTTAAAGGAGTTCTGAGCTCGGAGACTCATATTTTTCCCGAAGACTGGCTCACTTCGCCTATCATGCATTGCTTCCGGTAAAGCTTGAAATGCGGAACAATCCGTGAAAATCAGGCAACCCACAAGACACCGTGTGCTGGTGCATCTCCCGCAGCTGCTTCTCAGTTGAGCTTGTGACGTCCCTGTACCCGCTCAATTTTTTTTGGTCTTCTTTTCACGGCCTAGACCAATCTAAAATTGGGAAGCTCTTAAACGGCTGACGCAGCTCCTAGTTTCTTCCTCGCCCAACCATGAGAATCAACGGCACACCCTCTTTTCGTTGGTAAACCTTGGTTGGTATTTAAACCGAAGCTGTTTAGGGGGCCCATCCCCATTTTGAGAAGCGCCACAAATCGATTCTTCAACAGGGGACCAGAACCGACAGAGTTTTTCCAGCTCAGAGCCAGCGAGTTTGGGCCAGTGTCTGATGCCATGAGGGCGGCTTGCCACGCGATGGGCGTTTTGCGTCCGAGAAAAGATTTCCTGGGGCTTGGCTCTTAGAAAGTTAATGTTCAAAGGCGCCCATGGAGAAAATACAAAACCGCGGTCCTGATCAAAGGGTTCCCATCGAACCTTCGCGCACCAGCCGCTCCAAATATCCGCATCCGCGCCGAGAAATGGTATGGGTATGGGGAAGGAAGCCAACGCGCGTTGGGTCAGCGAAAAGTCGCAAGATTTGCACGAAAAGGCCCACCAACCTGAAAGGAATCCTCGCTGAGCTTGGTTTCAGCCAGATAAGCTTTTCTGGTACCCTAGCTTGGAAACAAAAACAGGCCCGGATGCCAGCAAAATCCAAAAACGGGCCAACCGAAGGTTTGGGTGGTTTCCATTTGAGCGGGGTAACCCGTTTGACTTGACCGCCACACCCATGGACCCCTTGGCGACGTGTTACCCATTGATTTCACACTCGGGCGCCCCGGCCACGGCCGGGTGCTCGAACAAAGGCCCGGACCGGAAACGACACTGGGCCTTGGCCAACGTTTTCGCCGGGGAAGTTGGCGATAAATGGGTTTGTTGGCACCCTTTTTGTGGCTAAACGCCAAAACGGAAAACCGAAACCATTTTTGGATTTTTGTTGGAAAAACATCAAGTTACTGTAAATTGCTTTGTTGGTTCCCTCCCACCCTTTTCACATGGAATCTGCCGTTCGGGGATTCCTTCAAAAACAAAACGGTCCAAACCAGGACCCAAACGTCCGGTTCCATGTTAGATGGTGGGATGGTACCCTTTTTGTGGCTCATGGGGAAACAAAACGGAAAACACGGAAAACCGAAGCCTTTTTGGGTCGTCCCCCGAAACAATTGACACGCGCAAAGTAAAAACACCAGCTTTTGGCATTTTGTCTGCTCCGAACTGTGCCTGGGGGGGACTAGCCTAGGTTAAAATCTTGGTAAGGAAACTACAACTATCCTCAGTTCCCCCACTCACATCCGTGGTTGCTTGGGTGCTGTAGATCCCCCAGCAAAAAGTTAAACTTTTTGTTGGTTAAAAGGAAATATGAGGGGAATCCAAAAAGTTAGAGTCTAAAGATCCAAGCCAATAGCAGTAGAGGTTGTAGCACATTTACGTGGCTTAGACATCCCAGGAAGAAGGTGGCCGTGCTTAGTTTCCCAACCATGTTTTTCCTAGGCAAACTATGACAGTTGGGCATGGGATGCCGCCATGCGGGCGTGTCTTTGTTTGAGGGTACAGGCCCGGAAATCAATTCTGGGTGCTCCAAAGGCTTGATCGTCACCTTTGCATTGTTCTATTTTAATGGCCTTGTCATTGCTTTTCGGATCAACTCTGTCAAAGGCAGCCTTTGACTGTCTAAAACGTAGCTCAAAGTGGGTAAGCCCAAAAGGTCAAAAGAAAGGCTTTGGGCTGGCCAGTGTGGCCATTGCCTATTCCACAGGCGGAGCTTTCAAAATATGCGGCTCCCAAGAAAGAGACAAGAAAGACATGGAAGGAAAATACGACCGAACCCTACGATCCCAAAGACTGAAGGTGTGAGCAAAATAACTACATGGACCTGCAGTTTTTGACATGCGCCCGGAAGGATCCACAATCAGGCCTTCAGATCAACACGCGGGGCAGAGTGAACTGGAATTTAATGTGCAGAAGCTACCCACCCACACCGTTCAGTTTTTCAGGGTGCGACAGTATGTGGTTAGCTTGGGGAAAGCCAAGAAAAATCGAGCCCGGGCCCGGGTCCCCACGACCTCCGACTGAATCACCGGAAACGTAGTTACACGCACTAACATCATCGCCTGGTTTCTTCAGGCCCTGAACAAGATCTGCAAGCTTCGCGGAGCTACCTTGGCAGATCAGCACGTTGTCTGGCTTCACAGCTCTCGGTGAAAGACCTACAAGGCAAGGAAGAGCACTGCACTTAGCACTCAGCGGGAGGAGATGTTTTTCTTCTTGCACGTCACGTTTTTGTCAGTGATCGCGCTGCAAGTACCACTGGCACGCATACGATTGTAGCCCACCGCTTTGCGGCGGCCTTGTCCTTTCTGCGTCGCCTGCGTGCCAGGAAGCGGTGGCGACCCTATGCGGCCCTGAGCTGCAAATGGCGCTCGGTGCAGTCAGATCGGCCGGCGCCTTGAGAGTGAGCTTAACTCAGCTTAGTCCATGTGCATCGTGGGTTTGGGGTTTGGGGGTAGGCGATTTGGGGTTTAGGGTATAGAGAGGTTAGAATGGGTTTAAGGTGGGTCGAGAGGTGGCTCAAGGTTAGTTTTGGGTGCGTTTATGGGGGGGGTTGGGGCTGGTGTGGGTTTGTTTAGGGTTGGTGTAGGGGTGGGTTGAAGGGTGCTTGCTTGCTTCGCTTGGCTTGGCTTGGCTTGGCTTGGCTTGGCTTGCTTGCTTGCTTGCTTGCTTGCCTGCCTGCTTGCTTGCTTGATTGCTTGCTTGCTTTCTCTTGGACAAAAACAAATCCTGCGAGCAAAGCTCCCTTGTAAAATGTAGCACCCTTTCAGATTTTCCCTGATTGGGACTGAGGTCAATGTACATTGCCCTCGCTCGAGTGACCATTTCTCCCTACAACAAAAAGGCACATAGTAAAGAAACAAATCACATGAAGCAAACTAGAAGTATGTATGGCAGGGTGAACAAAGCCAAGACATGCTACCACTCGAACATGAGTCCGAGGTGCTGGTGTCAATTTTCATTGTTCTGGACACATTGGGATTTGAATCTGCGCTAATGGCTATATGTTCACCATCTGAATTTTGAATTGAAGGTTTGGAAGTAAGGGGCCTTCATCCTTAGCTGGTTTTATCCCAGGGTGAGCTCGTTGCAATTTGGGCAAATGCCATTTGTTGCGTTCAGTGCAGGAGTTTCTGAGCGTCCCTACCAAACATCTAGGTAAAGGGCGTTCCTTGGTGGAGCAACTGGGTGGCACCTCCGGGTGGGTGTACCCAACATGGCACTTGGAAGCTGGTCGTGAGAACCATGATTAGAACTGTGTGAAGTGGCAATAATCAGCTTGTAACCATGGGATAGCCCGCTTACCAACATCCAAGCTCACACTCGAACCTTCCCTGGGCGACCAGGGCTCGTGCCCTCATGGTACGCTGCTCAAAATAGGGTCCCCAAATAGTTAACCCAAAAGGGAAATGGGTGTGTGTGTGTGTCTTTTTGAAGGTACCCTTTTTGGTCGATTTTGAAGAGAAATGACAAGGAAACCAACCACTATTTAGGGGTTGGTTCCCATATCAGATACCCATATGGGTTTGTGTCAAAATGGGACTTGGACTGCACCTTGGCCCGGGTTTCCCAGCGCGGTAGCCCACGGAGAAGGTGTGGTGGGACACGTGTCTCTCTGCATCCTGATGGACCGCCAACAGGGCGGGGACGGGTCCCCCTGGCTGAAATATGGCTCACAAGGCCACAAGCGGTGGAAAAAATGAACGGCAGCAGCAGCAAACAGCAACGACCACGACGACTGCGGCGACAGAAAGGAACTGAACCGAGCCGAGCAGATTAACACAGCAGCAGCAACAGCAGCAGCAACCCGCCGACCGAAAGCAAAACACAGCTACAAAGCAAAACAATCACAATGCTACAATAGGTTTACACCAACTTCTTGTTTCAAACAACCTCCTTTCTTCTTCAACCCGGCGCACCTTTCTTTACAATAAGACACAGCGCATAGGTTAATAGTCTTTTCTTTGCCAGGGGGAACCCTTTTCTTGGTTGGTTCTAAACGCAAAGCAAAATCAAACCAACCATTTTGGGGCTTCCTCACCCTGAGCAAACACGTACAGGTCTGTGTGACAACAGGGGGTGCTCACACATGGTGGTTTTCCTTTTGGCTTCCCTCCAAACCCTCAAGGAGGTATCCTCAAACAACCACGCACACACACACAGACACACAAACGTACGTATGCATCTATATACATGGTAAAAACATATATATATATATATATGTTGGTTTAGGGGTCCTGGTTGGTTGGTTGGTTGGTTGGTTGGTTGGTTGGTTGGTTGGTTGGTTGGTTGGTTGGTTGGTTGGTTGGTTGGTTGGTTGGTTGGTTGGTTGGTTGGTTGATTCAGTCGTTCGTCCGTCCGTTCCTTCCTTCCTTCCTTCCTTCATTCATTTCCTTCCTTCCTTCCTTCATTCATTCATTCATTCATTCATTCATTCATTCCTTCATTCATTTCCTTCATTCATTCATTCATTCATTCATTCCTTCCTTCCTTCCTTCCTTCCTTCCTTCCTTCATTCATTCATTAATTCATTCCTTCATTCATTCATTCATTCATTCATTCATTCATTTCATTCATTCATTCATTCATTCATTCATTCATTCATTCATTCATTCATTCATTCATTCATTCATTCATTCATTCATTTCATTCATTCATTCATTCATTCATTCATTCATTCATTCATTCATTCATTCATTCATTCATTCATTCATTCATTCATTCATTCATTCATTTCATTCATTCATTCATTCATTCATTCATTCATTCATTCATTCATTCATTCATTCATTCATTCATTCATTCATTCATTCATTCATTCATTCATTCATTCATTCATTCATTCATTCATTCATTCATTCATTCATTCATTCATTCATTCATTCATTCATTCATTCATTCATTCATTCATTCATTCATTCATTCATTCATTCATTCATTCATTCATTCATTCATTCATTCATTCATTCATTCATTCATTCATTCATTCATTCATTCATTCATTCATTCATTCATTCATTCATTCATTCATTCATTCATTCATTCATTCATTCAGTATTTCATTTCATTTCATCTCATTTCATCTCATTTCAACCATTCCTTCATTCATTCATTCATTCATTCATTCATTTCATTTCATTTCATTTCATTTCATTTCATTTCATTTCATTTCATTTCATTTCATTTCATTTCATTTCATTTCATTGATTCATTGATTCATTCATTGATTCATTGAATTATTGAATTATTTAATTGATATTTATACATTCATTTATTGATTTATTGAAAAACATGTGTCTGTGTTTGATTGTGTGTCTGTCTGTCTGCCTGCCTGCCTGCGCGCGTGCCTTCCTGCCTGCCCGACTGCTTGTTGGTTTGTTTGTTTGTGTGCTTGTTTCTTTCCGTGTTGACCTGTCTGTGTGCTGTGTTGCTGCGTTTTTGTGTCTTTGTGTGTAGAGGCATGTGCGTGTGTGGTCTGTGTCTTGGTGTCTGTGTGTCTGTTTTTGTTGTTGTGTGATTGTCTTGTTGTGTGTGTGTGTGTGCGTTCCTGCGCTTGGTCGGTTGGTTCGTCGTTGGTTTGTTTGCTGGCGTGCTGGTTAGTTTGAAATGCTTGTGCCCCATTGACAGACTGCATAACCAGAAAAACAACAACTTGTTGGGCCCACGTTTTCGTGAGTATCCCTTCTGTGTTTCAACGGCTGGATTTGGAGAAGTAGACAACGCAGGAGAAACATCTGAGACCCAACACCCAAGCTGGCGTTTCATATCAAGATGGGTGTAAGGGTTTACGTAGCGCCTTTCTACATTGGCCAAAAGGGGCTCAAGGACGCAGCTCACGGCATGGGAAGCTGCCTTTTCCCCAAGACAGCTCGTCATCCTTCTGCTTCTGCTACATCAAACTCTGCCCCCAAACCCCTGGACCATGCCGGCTTTCTAAAAAAAGAAGGGCCTGCGGTTCACTTTCTCCTGTTCTCTATTTTTTTCGCACCAACCGAAAGGGGCCACCATCTTGAGACACTCCCAAGCAACGGTGGTGTTGAATTTTGCCGGCAACCCGTTCCTTGAATCTTGAGGCTGGTTGCCTTCAGCTACCGAGAAATACATGGAAGAAACCGGGCTTCGTTTGGGCGCCCAAGCAAACAACCCTCATGGGAACAGAGCTGACGGAGTGGTACACATTGACAAGTTCACCAAGTCCTTTTTGTTTTTCATCTCACGGGAAACCGCTTTCTTTAGGCGGTCAAATCTGAACGTGTTTTGCACACACGCCCTTTTGCTGCATGAGCCAAACCACGTGGGCGCATGCCTCCCAAAAGGCTCCGTGTTCGTTCCCTCGACTTCGCCATGCCTTATGGTCAGCTTCTAGCATCAGGCCGCAAATAAGGGACACTCGATCGACATGCGCACAACCAATGCTGAAACCGCCCCGGAAATAAGGATATGTGTAAGTTTATGTATAAGAACCTCTGATCCTAGAGGAATCAACCAAGGGTTTATCAATCCTAGGTTAGCGATAGAGAGAACGAGAACTACATCGTCCAATCATGGTTCCTCCCTCATCCTTCCGTCAAGACGCTGTATCTGAAAGAGACGCCTAAAGGGGGAACGTACTCCCAAAGCCAAGGAAACAGTTGAGCGCCAACACCCTCTATGTCATTTGAGTAAGATGGATCTATGGCAAGGCATTTCCTCTACAACCAGCCTCCGTTTTTTGACACGACTTGTGGTTTTGTGGGCCACCGCCTTTCCACCAGTCCTCTACAACCAGCTCTGAGGGCAGCTGATTCACAGAGGGCAGGAAGTCCTGGCGCCAAATCAGATCGCCTTGTGGAGGTATTTCCAAAGATGAAGAGGCGGCGAATAAAACACCGGCCAAGAAGTGATGGGCCTAAGCAAAACTGGAAGGTTGACAGGTAAGAAGCAATCCATGTCTACAAGGTCCAACAACGACCATGCCTGTAGTGGCATTGCTACTGACCAATTTTCCAAACATGAAGAAGCGATTCATTAAACACCTTCATTCCCGCCAAAAGCTGGTGCGCCAAAGCAAAACTGGGTTCCTGGCCCAAAACCGCGATGGTTCAGGACGACTTCTTCAAGTGGTAAGGACCCCCAGTCGAATGGCTATAGTTTGGGGTGAACTGGGGGAACCAGAGCTATGGTGCAAACTGCAGATTATCACTAAAATGGTCCAAACCTAAAACACATAAAGACCCGGAACTCAGGAAGCGAGTAAACCATCCGTGCACGACTTGCGCCTTCGGTAAGTGGTGGAACCAAAGCCGATTCGGCCTCAAGGTGCCAAAACGCGATGCAGGCCGGGTCCAACGTTGGATTGCGCCCTGGTCAATATTTGGGGGTGTGTCAAAACGTTCCTTCTCGTTCCCTTGGATGCCAGCCAACAAAAGGGCAGCCTCTCATTTAGCTATGGCGTTACATTGACATTGGATTTTGGCAAGTGACCTTCATTTGCTGATGGTATTTTGGTGAGCGTGCCCCATGTCAACCGACGGTAGACTACCTTGTTGGTTTCGCCTTGCCATCTGCGCTGCGCTGTGCCCAGCTGTGACAACGGAGGCTACATATGTTCAGAGACACATCCCGAGAAGAAGTGGAAGCAGAGCTGCCAACCAAAACAGGACATGCGTATCTCTATACATATATGTATATATGTACATAATCTGGGCTGCCCGCAGACCTGCTTAACTGCTAGTGGGTTAACTGAAAATCTCGACTAAACAATACAAAACTAAAAAACTTAAAAACTAAGGGGACCGCCAAGTAATAGGGTTGGTATGTTTTTGGTCCCTTTAGAAAGCCGAGTGCCCGCAGAACCCTTACAGCCTCAGGCTTTCCGATTTCAGAGAACCGCTTTCGGAGCTAAATCCGTATTGCGCGTATCTTGCAACCAGCGGGGGAAAAGATCCCTTGAAAAATCCTTTCGGGTTGAAAATCCGCCTCCAAGGTCATCCCCCGTACCGGCACGAAGGAATGTGCGTTTACTTTCGTCTGGGTGTAAACCCCTCATCATGCGGATCCCGAAACATGGTGTTGAGTGTTTCCTTGGTCTTCCTTTTAAACCATGGTGAAAAGAGTACCCTTAAAGAACACTCCGCCATATCCTTTGCATCCGGCTCAGGGCTCAAGAAGTACCCGGTAAAGACATGTATTTATCTACATGTGTGACCAACGCATTCTTGAGCTAGGATACACATATCATCCGTTTATACGATGTGACACCATATGTTGCCCTGTGTTACTTTATGCTACTACATGTTAATTAAGCTGGCGCGCCAAGGTTGGTTTGAGTGGCACTACCACTGGAAGGTCTTGGGCCACAAGTGCAGCACAGAAGACTACCAAGAATATCGTCAACCAATTACAAGAGTTTCCACTACTCGGGCACACGTGCACGTCCGGCAAGTGCTCCAACTTCCTCCTCCGCGCCCTCTGCTGCACCTCCTGAGCCAAGCCACACGCTCGGGCCTCCTCCAGAATCCGCAGCTCCCGCAGCGCATTTGCCTCGCTTTCAAGTATGCAGATGACCACGCTGGGGAGTCAAAGAGCGTTCCATACACGGGCGGAGCCTCTTGGAGAACATGGAGACCTGGAGCGCGCAGCAAATCGCAGCCCGGAGAAGACGCTGCCAACCAGCATCCAGCCAGCCTCACCAGAGGGCTTGGCAGAAGCATCAGTCACCTGCGCCTTGGCACCACAAACGCAAGCCTGGTGACCTTGATCAAACCAAAACGTCTCCGTTGATACGGCTGATACCCCAAAGAAAGGAGCCCGAAACCAAAAAAAGGCTCAAGGGGCGGTAGCGGCGCTCCGATTTTTTGCCTCGGGCGATCTGGAGCAACAGGATTTTCTGCTGGTAACATATGTACTATGTGTATGCGTATATAATATATATATATATATATAAATATGTGCGCGGGTATGTCTTGTTTTGCCATATTTTCTTTCTGGTCAGCAGAAAATGAGAAGTGGAATGACCCTTATCAACAATCCCACTTGTGGTTTACTTTATTCGGGGACCAAAGGCTGGTTTCATTCCGACTGATTTCCTACAGATTTCGCACAAACTGATGCGCTGAAAGCTACGAATCACTGGGCCTCCCTGAGCTAAGGCCACCTCATGGCTTGGGTGCCTTGTAAGTAAATTTGCAGCCTCAAATCATTTTCTGCACTTTGAACGCACTGGGTATGTGCGCCCCGGTCAAAATTCGCCTCGGCCCCAAGGGGGCCAAGGGCGCTCAGATCTTCGCAAAATTTCTGCGGCCCACCCCCCCCCCCCCCAACCCTCCTGACCCATGTCTGCTGGCCCTAAGATCCTGTCCGGCGGGCCTTGAAATTTTCGAGGTTCCTCGGCGTCCAGCTCCATGGGCCGCTTTTGGACGCAAATTCGCTGTAATAGAAATCGCCAAATAGTTGTTTGGTCCGAAAAGCATGACCTCCTGCTGGCCAGGCCTGTCTGACGTGTCTGAGACTCACCTCAGGCCTACCCCCCGCCCCCACCCCCTGACCCATGTCTGCTGGCCCTAAGATCCTGTCTGACACAGCCCAACCCCCCCGCTCGGCTGGGCCGAGGCGGGCAGCGCGCAGCGTTTACAATTACTCGTTTCCCCCAAACACATTGGACATTAAGTGAGTCCCCTCTCGTTTTTGTGGTTGACATGTAGTTCCCTCCAAATGAACCTTGGGCCAAACCATTGTAATTTGCACTGAATGTGTCCGTCGTCTCCCTTTGGCTCAGTCTCCCCGCGAGGCTTGTACTAGACCAGTCCGGGTTTCCTCCGACAACCTGGGGCTCAAATCGAGAAGCTGAGCACCAAATCCCATGGGAACCTTCCCCACTCGCAGTTCTGCCAATGAACATAGAACCTGAGGGGATGCAAAGTTTCCTTTGACAACCCTCACTTTCTATCTGCGTTGGGAGGGTGCCTCATTGGAGTTGCCTTGTTTCAGCGCACAGTACCTAGAAGCGCTGGGCCTGTGTTTGGCCATAGGTCAACTGGAGGTCAAAAAGCGGTTGGGTTGGAGAAAGGGTCTTCCCTCAGTTTACGTGCGTGAAGAGTCATGGATCACCAACCTGACTCCAAGGCCCCCCATGGGTGAGGTCGCCAAAATGCCTTGTGAGTTTTGAATTTGACCAGATTCACCAACGCCCTTGAGCGGGGAACCCTTCATCTTTGAAGAACACACAGCTGCCCATCGGCCATTTGGTTTTAGATATATACATAATATATACATATATATATACATATATGGCCAGTTTTTGTTAAAAAAGTAAAAATAACTCCGGGGTCGACTTGGGTGTTCAACAAATGAAAACAAACAAAGGTCCCCGTCCTGAAAAGTTCGGGCCTAGTTGACACCCACAGCTGACCCTCCTCTCAAGTGACATGCTCCGTGTGATTTGAAGCGAAACCAGCAGGCGAGATCATCAGAGCCCATGAACACGTGACCACAGGGCAGGTACCCCGACACCAGGAATTATCTTCAGGCAGAAATCCATTACCCAGTGCGTCCAGCTACCGCTGTGGTACAGAAACAGGGAAAATCGGTTGAACACTAAAAGGCAAATGGGTGTGTCTCAAAATCGGAGAAACGTAAATTTCGGTTTCCCCAAATCTCTAATTACCTGCAACAGCAGGCTCTCAGGACGTTTCAAATCATCTGCCGCTGTCGAGGATATACCAGATGTTCCAGGTTTGCATGTTTACACGGGTGTGTGTGTGTGTGTTTTTCCTGTTGGTGTCCTTTTGAAACCCCCGAAAATGGTAGCCTTAAAAAAGACACAGCTACATGGAAGACCGTTTGAAGAAACCTCCAGAAAAGGGCGTTGGTTTCCATGTGAATCTGGGAAGTGGAGTGAATCTGCAGATTCCTCCAGGCATCTCGAGATGGTTGTCAAACATTACTCCACATGGCTTGCCCTGGTAAGTGAAAACATGGACTAGCACCGGTCCCCTGTGGTTTCACTTTGACCCATACCCAAGGCTTGCCCTGGCCATGCGTCGAAGTTTTGATTCGCCCGAAAGGGAAGCACCCTTGCGTCGGTCCCCAAAGGCAATCACGGTGGGTAAATCACGGTGGGCAAGCTCATCCCTTCCCAGTCAGGAGACAAGGGCGCTTTCACCAATGTCCTTGGAAACCACAAAAAAACACACACACACACAAAGCCAACTTTCAAGTCTGTGCCCAACAGTGTTTAACTTTGCAGGACGGGAGCCAAGATCAGCTACAAAGGCGGATGAACATTTCAGGCGGATGGCAACCCAAACCCAAAGCCGCCGATCTAAGGCACCATTCGAGGGCTCGAAGGCTGACAGCCCTCGAAGAATCACTCTGAAGCTGAAAAAAAAGGTGTATGTTCTTCCATTTGCGTTTTCGACGCCTGGAAAAAACAACTATTCTTGGTAGTGATAGATTCCCTTAAACCCAACAGGAAAAATAAAACATATTCTTAAGCAAATCAAAGTGCTCCATACTAGGAAGTTCATCCAACGTCAGGCAGGTACAGTATGGCTATTAACGCCAGCCACCAAAAATCCGTAATGATTATAACCTACTAACTCGGTGGATTGAACATCCTACTGATGATTTAGACAAGCACGGGTTGATACCGACCTGCAAGTTGCCAACGTGTTTTGGGAAATTTCGAACTTTGAAGTTAGAATGGGCGTACTTCGGGCGGGGCACAGCTGGATGGTAGTTGGCACAATTCCATCATGTTGGTTTATTCATCTCATTTACTTACCTGAATAAAGGAATCCGTGCCATCTACTTTCACCCTGATGGGATTGTACCGCCGGTGCTTTAAGGGAACCAAAATAGAATCACCTGGGTCCAGCACCAAACGATGCGCCATGGAAGCTTCGCCTAAGCTTTGTTCAAAGCACATCCTTGCAAAGTGCAACAACCATGACATGGAAAATGGGGAGAACCAAACTGGCACACAGAGGGACAACAATTAGCGTGACCAAACAACCGGAAAAAAAGGAATCGCAAGAAACCTCTTGTGGTCTTTTCGCAGTTTGGAGGTTCTCTAAGTCACATCTCATCTGGAATTCCTTGATATCCGCCCCAGACCAAGATGCCATTTTCCATCGAAGTCGCGTGATCCATATGTCATAGTCTAGCGCCGTGCAAGAGTCAAAACATGGTGAACCGTCTCGGATTGACTGGCAGCCTCTGTCAGAGAGCGTGAATCGCGTTCAGGGGTGAAATTCAGCACTAACCTTCCATTTGCGAAAAGGCCCCCTCGAAAATAAATAAATAGAAATAATAATAATAATATATTTCCAGTAGCCACAGATTCCCTTTAAAACCAGCAGGGGGAAATAACAAAAATATTCTTAAGCAAATGGAAGTAACCCTTGTTCCTGTGATCCCAGCTTGATTTGGTGTAATTACCCAACTCCACGCGAATTCTTTGGGCCCGTCTACTCATGTTCCTATTTTTTTCAGAGGCGCCAGTGCACCAGAGTCATTGCCCTCATACGTGCGCTCCGCGCTCGCCCACGGTAAGCACCAACGGGCGCTTCCAGGCATTCCGCGCGGGTCCGATTCACACTGGCAACCAGCAAGCGGGCAACGGTGGGTAAGCTCGCCATGTGCAATCATGATGACCCACAGGCGAATATGTAAGTCCCCTTGGTTGTTGTTGGGCATTTCGTGATCCCGGACAGCTTGCAAACCCCGCAAAAGTGGACTTTTCGGGGTTCGGGAAAGTGATGGAAAGCCAAAAGGCAAAAGGTTTCTCCCAGAATGTGTCTTGTTGAAGTGATTCAGGGACATCCAGTTGGAACCGTAGTTGCACATCGGAATGCGTCAAGTTCTGTAAAGCGACAACTTCGCCTTAAACTTCGCAAAAGGGACTGGGCTTGCCCGGAATGGGGTAGCTGAAAGCATCTTCAGGTGGCTACAAAAATCTGCCCTCCCTGCATTCTCCCATCCCTGTTTCCTTTATGTTTTTATGTTTCTGCTAAATGCCTTGCTCTCCGACAAAACAGCGGCTCGCCTGTGGCATGCGAAACATGAGGTCTCCCTTGCCAGTGTCCAGTGCCAAGGCAGCACCTCGAGTGCACATGCAAGATTCTGCATGCAGGTGCGGCTCTGGAAAGCAAAAGAGCATCGCATATGGGGCAGAACCTCTTCGTTCCTTGGGTCGTCCACACCCCTTCGGTGCAAAACAAGCCGCGCTTGCGCCTCTCATTGACTTCTCTCACCTAAGCCATGAGTCGCACTCCAGTGCAGCAATATATGAATGATTCGCCACTCCAGGCTCCTTTAGTGACCAGTTTTGAACCAATCGAGCCATTTCTGGGTACTCCACCAAAGTTGCGGTACATATGTGGGTTCACACGTTCAGCCTTAGAAGGGAACCCCAAAGCAGGATTGACTAGGCGTTAAGGTCACATCCATGCATACGTGCATCCATCTGCACCCATACATGCGTATGTACATGCATGCATACATAGATGGATGGATGCATCGGTGTATGGATGCATCGGTGTATGGATGTATGACATAATCATGGATGTAATCGGAGGGTGGCTAGACGGTATCAAACAAAGGGTATGATGCCTGCGAAAGTTTGCGGCAATTTTGGGCAACATGCGACAAGTTGATGCAGCGCGCTTGATTTTGCACAAACATGTGTTACTCCTTCTACACTTCAATTGATGCGGCATGTTGCGGCCAGCTCCGTGTGTGCGAAGCAACATGGTGCAACCTGCATCAGCTTGCGTTATTTTGCATTACCTCTGACACAGTTTGCGTGACATGTATGCATGCATGCATGGATGTATGGATCTATTTGGATGTATATGTATTTATGCTTGGATGTATGGATAAGTTGGGTAGCAGGTAAGTAGGTGGACCAAAGTCTTTGTCAAAGTATTTCGCAACCGCTTGGGAAGCCCAAAATATTTGCTAACAAGTTCCCCAAGCACCGGAGGTCGAGACTGGATCCGTGACCGGAACATCCTCAAGTTCACCTGAGAGGTGGGTGAATAGGGTCTGCCAGCAGGGACCCAAACCAACAAAACAGAAATGAACATTCTAGGGGTACCTTCCCCATTCTTTCCAGGGATCATTCTTTTCAGGAAACCATCAAAAACCCAGGGGAAACAGGCGGTTTTTGAAAAGAACGATGGTCGAAAAGATGGGAACCCCCGAAGCGCCAGCACTTTAAGGACAGCGCCCACATCCCGCGAGCCGCTCGACCTACGCAACGTCGTGTGTTACTCACCTCCGATCGAGTGGATTGGCCAGGAAAAGTCGCCAAACTGTGCATTCGCCACTAAAATTGTCCAAATCTAGGTCCTCCAGTAGAGAGGTTTGAATCAGCGTACCTGTTTTTTTCCTGCGGTCGATTTTAGTAGGGGAACCATCCCAACCAAAAAGAGTGAAACAAAAGAAAAAAACGCGACTGGGGGACCTAGAGACCCAAAGACTTGAAAGTCCATGACCTCAGGAAGTGAGATGATCAACCCACGGAAGGCTGTAGCCATGGCGAGGGGAGCCGGACGAACCCTAGCTCCAGCTGGATGGATGCAACGGTTGAACATGGCCACGTCACGGTTCGTTTGACGCTTCGTTTGATATCTCAAGTGGGATTCCCAAAACAGAGCTCCCATCTCCCGGAAAGAACATGGATCCTTTTAAAAAGGGTTGAAGGATATCATGATGTTAATTTTCAAACCAACATGTAACATGTCAAATCATGGGTGTGGGAAACAACGATTCATGCTTTATCAAAGTGGGCCATCCCTCCTCCTTTGTTTGGGAGATTCC